CCCACAAATACATTGCCTCAACAATGGAGCAGCACGTGAGCATAAAGAAAGCCAACTATCGAAAGAACCCTGCATGAGACACTGAGAGACAAGGAGGTAGTCTAAAAGGTAAGGAACAACGTACAGCATCCCTCAATCAGCGGCAGTGAAAACGCTGAAAAATGCAGATGATATCAGCACAGATTCCGTCGAAAACATGCGTCTAACCTGCCTTACAACGACCACCCCGACAAACGGGCTTGATAACAGCTATATATAGCTCCAAGCAACCGTCAACAGAAGAAACATTGAAGAAGACAGGCAAGTCGGCACAGACTCCGTCGAAAACATGTGCCTAACCTGAAACCGACAGCGACCCGCGACTGAACCTTGTGCAAGCTCTTAGCACTGGCACAGGAGCTACCAGAAAGCTTTTAAAAGCCCCGCGCGCGGGAGGGTCCAGCCTGCCTGATACTCTGAACGTAAAACGAGCATCAGGACCTACGGGGGAAAAAACTAACGAGACCCTCCCCTGCGATCACGAGCTCCGCGTCGAGGCTCTCGCTTCCGAGACACTTTGGAGCCGTTTCGAGCGCCACCCTTCCCCTTGCCACGGCCTTTGGCCGGGCTCAAACCATATTCCTCCATCCGTTTGCGTTTCTTAGCCATATCGGCCTGGCAAACCGCGCTGAACAAGTTGCGAGAACCGAAGGGCCTGCAAGGATGGCATAAACCTGACGTCGAGAGCAGTGTGCTTACCCCACGGACCCCCTACTGGGAACACCCCGATGACCTCCTCACCAGCCCCGAGAGTCTCCCGGAGCTCGGCCCGGATCTGCACCTGCTTCGCCGTATCCGACATAGCAGATATGGCCGGCTCGAGGTCTTGGAGCAAAAGTTCAAAGATCTCCGTCTTGGCTTTCCAAAGGCCATCCTTTCGTTCGACCAGCGACATCATACGGCTGTTCAACGTAGACATACCCTCCCATCGGCTTCGGCAAGTGGAGCTCCAGTCGGAGAAGGCATCTTCGAGCGTGCAGAGTCTGGCATCCACATCCGGATCTGGACCTGCTTGCGGTATCCGTCATCGCAGAGATGGCTGGGTCAAGGTCCTGGAGCAGGAACTCGAAAAGTTCCGACTTTACCTTCCGCAGGCCGTCTTTGCGATACACAAGCGACATCATGCGATTGTTGAGCGCCGTCATCCCCTCCCATCTGCTTCTGCAGGTGGAGCTCCAGTGTAGATCCGTTCATGCTGCACGAAGGGTTGAGAGGACTTGTAAGCCGTGTCACAGCCACCCCGTTCAGCGTCACGGAACGAACTTTCACACCGCCCTCCACCGAGACACTCTTGGAAAACCATGACAGGGGCCTCCAAAGCATTCTAGCGTAAAGCCTAGACACCTAGGAGCCCTTAACCCGAATCCGTCAAAGCAAACTCAAACTTGCCACAGGAAGGTTCAGAAGCACGCCAGCTCGACGATTCCCCCCCTCCTCCCCGCCCCCAACTACAGAAATTCTCCTAATTCGGGCTTAGGCTTCCCAAGGGAGTGGTGATGTCCTGGCGTTTCCGCGCCATATTGAGCACGAAATCTAACAACCTTATTTGGTCCTGCTGGGACCTGCCTCCTACTACCATCTAGGCTCGCAGTCTTAAACTGTGAAGCCCCGCGAAACTCTCGAAACGAAATCGAAAACACCATGTGATCCTCTCGACACTCCTGCAAGAATACCATAAGCGCCACCGGAAAGCTGCACAAACTCCAAAGACCATCCAGACTTTCATCTTTCAAACGTGTCCACGCCGCCTCGAGCCACTGAAGTCGTCGAGACAGCCTCGAGGTGGCTGCTGCCAGTGTCTCCTCGGAAGCCTGCTTCTCATGGTGACGAACAACGGGCATGAGTTTAGGCCATAGTTCAGGCTTTAGTATTTAGAGAGTTACATACTACAGTGCTTTGGGGTGCGGGTTTTGGCTTTGGGGCTTTTCTGCGATGGCTGGTGATGATCGTGAGAAGTGACTCAAGCTTAATGTGAGCTGTGCTACCATTGCCACAGTGATCTATGTGTTAGTGACTTTTCGTGAATCTCGTCGGTAACCACGTTTTAGTTGCTTTTACGATCACTAGGCTGATGGCATCAGAAGCTTTCTGTTATCATCTCCGAGGTCCCTTAATATATAGAGCTGCAGTCGCAAGAGTAACAGTGACAGTAACAGCAGCCAGAGTGGTGGTACTGGTGCTGCTGCTGGTGCTGGTGGCGGCGGGCGTGGCGCAAAAGTGGTGGGGTGGTGGTGGTGGTGGTGGGGTGGTGGTGGTGGTGGTGGTGGTGGTGGTGGTGGTGGTGGTGGTGGTGGTGGTGGTGGTGGTGGTGGTCGTGGTCGTGGTGGTGGTGGTGGTCGTGGTCGTGGTGGTGATGGTGGTGGTGGTGGTGGTGGTGGTGGTGGTGGTGGCGGCGGCGGCGGTGGTGGTGTTTGCCATGGTGGTGGTGGTTGCCATGGTGATGGCGGTGGTTATGCTGCTCATCTGATTGGAACTCTAACTAGGCAGACATGGCAAGCACTCTAACGGAAGTGGCTGCTTTCTGCTTGCCGCCTTGGTGCTGCGGCAGACCTCTTGTACCCTCAGAATCGCCATGCTGCCCAAAAGCAAGGTGGCAAAGCGCCACCGACGGCCTTGACAGACGTTGTGATCTCCACTCGACCCACCAATTTCCAATAACAAGCAGCAAGCGTTAGAAGTATGGTCATATACCTATGTCGCAGCCTAGGCATGCCCACGAAGCCTCAAGCAAAGACGGGCAAATCAGCTTCCTGCAGGGTAACCCGCAAAGTCTGGAAACTAAAATCTACCCTGCAAAGTCTCACGGAGCACACTGGGCCCGCACCTTGTTTCAGGCCGGTGATCGCTGTGCCAAAGGTCACTGAGTCCTCATGGTCTGGATACCAGGTAGATGTTTCCACTGGGATGTGCAGGGCTCATGTCGCTGCCCTAACTATGCAAACACTCCGACTCCCCCTCCCACGAAGCTGCACGAAGTTCCGAGCCCAAAGTTTGGACCAGTAACCCTAACCTGCGCATCCCACCTGCATCACCTAGACTCCTCTATTCATAGCCCCGGCTCTCAAACCCAAACGGCCAAACACGAACGTTAACCTTGCGCATTTTTACCAGCCATCAACGTCCCGCACTTGCCACGAAACTCTTGTGGTACACGTTCAGCCGTCGAGTCCCAAGCACTGCACGCTGAACCTTAGCCCTCCACCCTAGTTTACGTTCTCACGACACGAGAAAAGCCAAAGGCGCCACAGCTTTGAAGCCTAGAAGCCGACGGAGACCCTCTCCTGTGTAACCCTCTGAAACTCTCAACGCATTTCAAACCCTCGTACCCAGAACCCTCGCAGTAACCCGACACTAAACTGTGGTAGCAGATGTTAGTAGATTGAGTATCCGGCACCCTCAAGCCCGTAACCCTACCACAGCTCTAGTACCCCGCTTGCAGATCTGAAGCCCTCCACCCCGAAGCCTTATGGCAACCTAGAAATACAGTCTTCAACTACCTAAACCCGAAGCCCTTAAACCTAAAACACTAAACCCTAAAACCCTAAAACTCAAACCTCTAAACCCCGGTCCGGGCTAGGTGGAAAGCGCAGGGCGCAGGCCCAGGACGGAGAAAGGCCGAGGCCAATGTTGTGGCCTGGATGTGTAGGAGCCTTTACGTTGCTTTTTTTTGGGGGGGGTTCAGGGTTCAGGGTTTAATTAAGGCTTTGGGGCTTGAGGGTTTAGGGGTTTAGGGTTTAGGGATCAGAGTGGAGGACTGGCGACTGCAGGCGTCTGGGCAGAGATTGATAAGACTCAATTTGATATGGAGCCAATAGGAAAAATGTGCGACCCAAATCCTGAGGTCCAGCTATGGCGGGGTTTACAGGCGGGCACAGAAACCTCATGTGATGTCTCACTGGGTCGGTTCTGCTGAGCTTTGAAAACTTCACGGTGCTTAGATGAGTGTTGAGCTCAACACTGAAGCCCGGCATCGAAAAACCCACGATTTCTGTCATAATCAAACCCCAAGAGGCTGATCGTGTCCGGCAAAACTTCCATGGCCTCAGCAAGTTTAGAATTCGGTCCCAAACACATCATGCTTGCGTGCACGTGAATTGCCTCCTCCGTGGCATCATGACGAACAAACTGAGGATCTGGCGGGCATCGTGTCCTAGGATCAAGACGCAGAGGACTCTGTAGCTGCTGAGCCAGTGTGCATCCAGGGCGCGAGAAGTGCCAAGCCCTGAGGCCAAACGTCTACGCACGCACTGGCTGCAGCATTCCACCCGATGGTATTCCTCAGAAAGACAACGGCGGAATAAACCTCAAAAGGTTTCCCGAGCCCGCCGTCCGCGCCAAGCGGCGCCCTGTAAGCGTCTTCGCCCAAGCGGAGATGCAGCGCGCGGCGCCAGAAGCGGCTCTTCTCACAAGCACCTGACCACCAGTCACCAAAAAACGAGCTTTGCTGATCCCAAGTGTGCGCTGCAGCCTGTCAAGCAGCTTCCGCAACGGAGGCAGTCAAGGTAAGATACCGCTTTCGGAGGAATAGCAACTGCGGCTGTCAGGATCACTTTCTTCCGAATCTGGAGCCAGGCCGCTCAAGAGTGTGGAAGCACTGATTGAGTTGGGAGTCAGAGCGCGACTGGGCATCCCAGCGATCCTCGTCACAGCAGTCGCTAGAAACGTGCAGCAGCAGCAGCAGCAGCAGCCGCGGCAGCAGCAGCAGCAGCAGCAGTGGTCGCTCCGTGAAGTCTCCCCTGCGAGCTAAAGCGTTGCTTTTGCAATAAAACTGCTGTAGCACGGAGCCTGGACCTAACGTGTAGACCCCTGTGCGCTCCTGAAGGCTCAGGCTTTTTCGTCTCATGCGCATGCCCTTCCCTGCTGTAAGCCTTTGCACGGCGCGACAGGACGAGCTTCATGGCCGTACCAGCGCAACACAAACCTTCGGTTTAGCACCAGTCTTATTTTAAGAGGCCTTAAGCTCAGTCCTTCCGCCATGCGACGTTAGCTTCGGAGCCTACTGCAACATCCTTTGAGGACTTGCTGTCGACTAACGTGACCATCGGTTGGGCCATCCATTGTCTAAAATCATCTCGTAGGCTTCGCGACCTCTTTGTCATACAATCGGCGTGCATCTGCTCAGTCGGCACCCATCTCAAGCCCTGGCATGTCTGACGAAGAGCAGCCACGTCGATCTCGACACGCTTCTCCGTGAAGCTCGTAGAAAGCCTGTGCACGGCATCCCATAAACTGCGAGCGTCCGTCACGGGAACGACCTCATGCTTGGCCCTCTCGTTCACGGTAGCAATGTAGTCGCCATAGACCATCTCCGAGAAGACCATGGCCATGAACCTCGCATGATCGTGGGAACGATCCAGGGCCGAGGCTTCCGCAGCCAGAGTGCTGCGCAGCACCCGTTGGTGCCGGTAGCTCTTCCACTCCAGCAACGACGCTTCGCACGGTTCACGGAGAGCACAGCGGTCGGTCGCCACAATCACCAGTCCGCCCTGGCTCTTGTTGTTCGGCGCATTCGCGAAGCCACTGTCGCCGTAGGCTACGAAGATAAGGGACTCGAGCGGCACGTGGACGATGCGGACCATGGCCTCCGGGGTCGCCTTGACGTAGCGGAGGACGCTGTTCACTTCCCGAAGATCTGCCATCTTTCGGGGGCTTCTGAATAAGGGACACATCCGCCGCCACGTCTCCTCGAGTCGTACTTGACAACCATTGCAAGGAGCCAATGCCTGACCTAAACTCTGTCACCAAGGAGGGGTGCAGGCTAAGCAAGGTGTCCTCCGGCAGCTTTACTTTCGTAGTGGGGATGTCTCCGACGTAGGTGGATTGGTCGATCGTCACCGAGCCATCGGGGTGTTGTTTCACCTTTCGGCCAATGAAGGTGAACTCCTCCGAAACCCATGGCGAACCCCAGGTGAAGCTAGCCTCAACCTTGTTCAGCACCTCCTCATACTCGGTAAGGGCTGCCGCAATCAGATCATCGACATGTAGCCCCAGCACTGCTCCAATTTGTGAACCAACTCGCCAAAGGAACAAGCACGGGTCCAAACTGTGCTGTGTCCAACCCAGTTTCCGCATCACCTTGGAGAAGTGATCGTACCATCTTCTCGGAGCGTTGCTCTGCCCATAGACCGGCGCGGACAGCTTGTAGAGCAAGGTCTTGCAGCGCCACTCCGGATTCGCTTGAAGAGCAATGGGGTCGGCTGGAGCGCGCATGAAGATTTGCTCAGGACGCTCCGTATCAGGTTCCCCTTGAAGAAACGCCGATTTGGCATCCGCGTTCCAAAGTTTACGCGGAAACAGCAGGACCACTGGAGAATCAGGTGAAAGGAGGTGCGTGCCAGAACCGGTGCATCACGTGTCAGAATGGCCAGGTGGGGGTCTCGAAAGCCAGCTATAACTATCCGCGCTTTTGCGCGTTGTCCCTCGGGCACCGGCTTCCAGCGATAGCACAGACGAGACTTCAGGATGAGGTGCGAGGGTACCTCGCCTTCTCGCACTTGAACAGCCTTGCATGATGACCATCTCTGCCACTCGGACCATTCCTTCTGCACCGCCTCCACAAAGCAGGGAACTTCTTCTTCGGTCAAGCTTCGCCAGTGAATTTCCTTCTTCCGGGCTTGGAGCTCGGCTCGTCTTGTCTCAAACGACCCGTCGTGACCTTCCTCCTCGCTGGAGGATTCCAGAGCGACTACACGCTCTGTGTCGCCCGCCGAGCTGGACTGCTCCTTCACCGGATAGGCCTCGAGCACGGTGACATACTCCCGAAACGTCTCCTCCGGCGCTTTTGCAGCGGCATCGGTGTTCAGCACATCGGCAGAAGCCGCCGTCCTTTTCGAACGAAAACCCATCTCCCGGAGGATACTCAGATGCTCCTCAGGGGCCTTGTCGACAAGACGGGTCTGATACGCCGTGATGACGAAGCGGTTGCCGGTGAAGTCGTCGGAGCCGTGGTAGAGGTGCGGATAGAAGGACTGGAGTCGTCGGCGGGTATCCAGCAAGTAGCCAAGTTTACGCCGACCATGCACCCTTCGCTCTTGCATGAGATGGTACTTACAATCGTGCGCCTCGGCTTCAACCCATAAGTCGCCTCCCAAGTAGTCACCGTGGGAGTCTGCCAATTGATACTTCCCTTGGAGTTGTGACGATCTTGGTGGTAGAGGCTGTGGACGTTGCACGCAATGAAGAGGCTGCTGATGTCGCCCTTCATACCGTGGTGTCGAAGATATCGCCCAAGGTACCTAGCCAGGTGCTTGTGGTGCATGGTGTCGTTGGTGAATCCGAGCTGCTTGCCGTGGCTGTAGTAGCCGAGAGTCAAAGTCCCGGAGCGTGCCCGGTTCGACGAAAGACACTGTCGGCCGGGTTTTCGGAGCTTGACCACCTCCAAGAGTTGGTGGCACGAGTCGTGGTCGAAGTCCTTGCGTTTCAGCAGGATCTTGGCCAGGCCTTCCGAAAGAGAAGTAGTAGAGGAAGTGGGCCTAGAGCTGGAGAGCAGGGCCTGATGATCTTGTACCTGCAGTTCCGGTGTTTCCGGTTGGTCAGCTCCAGCCAAATGCGCAGCAGTGAGGAAAGCATCACTGTGAAAAAGCTGCACCTCGGACGGTGATCCGTCCCATCCGTGTCGAAGGTGGCCGCCTCGACCGTGACGTCGAAGAACATCCAGGCGGTGCATACCTGGCCTCGAAATCGTGGTTGTAGAGAGGAGCGTAGACGGAGGTGTCTGGTAGTAGTCAATCTCGTTGGTCTTCTCGTCAGGAGGCACAAACTCATCCCGGCGAAGCGGGACTCCCACGATCTGGTCAAAGGCCTCCCTCTCCTTCACCTCGTCGAGCCATGAGACAACATCCAGCGGGTTCGACACCGAGTGGACACTGCCACACCGTGGACACTCCTTGGGAAAAACTCGGTACTGCTCGCCGCAGCCTGACAAAACAATAAAAGAGCCTCGGACTCAAGCTTACCCTGGGAAGGCTTGGAACCCGTTGAAGAATTGGGATCTGTCATAGATTTGGCCACCGAAGACGACGAGGGACCCAATTCTCCAACAGCAACATCGGAAGGTCTCTTGATGCCTCTCGCAGTGTCACGCTCTGCAAAGGACCAGACGGTTGCGAAATCTGCCTCAAAAGACCAGGAGTAGACTCTGTAGAAACTCTACGGCTATTGCCACGGGACCCAGGAAGTGCACGTTCTGAGGGAGGATCCTGTCCGAGTAAATTTGTTCTATCTGAACCGGACACAAGCCTCTCAATGTCCTGCGACGGAGGCCTCGAAACTAAATCATCCATTGAGGACCCGGGAAGTGCAGGATCTGAGGGACGTGGATCCTGTTCGAGTGGTTCAGCACGATCTGGTACTCCCGCCGTAGCCGTCGTTCGGGTGATAGACCTCGATCTCGCCCGTGCTCGCGGTGTGCCAGGGGCAGAATGCGATCTCGGTGTTCTCGGCACAAACATGACCGGACTGAACATGGGTGACTCTTGTGTTGGCTGTCCCTGTTCATCAAGAAGAAAAGGCGCAGGTCGAGGTGCCAACAGCGAAGGTGTACCCGGCGCCACAGGAGTAGCGGGCACAGGAGAGCCAAGATCGAATGCATCGGTCGCTTTCGTTTCACCATCTTTCTCGGCCGCCTTGTCTAAGAGACGCTTGTCATCAGCAGGACTAGGACGGTCGTCGGGAACTCGAAAAGCTCGCGGGTGAATCCGCAAATCCTCGTCACAGTTTTTCAAGACCTCCAAGTCCTGCGCATCGGGAACCCACCATTCTTGCTCGCCAGCGATGGGACGGCATTGTTCAGGCGAGCATTGAACGATGCGGCCTCGAGAGTTGCGGATCCATATGTTCGCTACCACATTCGAGGAGGGGTTGCGATCGAGGGCCAGGACAATGCCTTGACGGTATCCCTCGATAGAGCCCTCGCCGTCGCCTGTTTGGGTGGACTTGCGGAAGTAAGCCACCTTTTGTCCAGGTTCGAAGGTTCCCCGGTAGGGCCGACTGTTGCGGAGCAAAGCTGCACGCAGGGATTCGTGGGCCTCATAGCGATGGTGGTTCATGAGGGCTTCAGTACGAATGGCTTCCAGTTGCATCAGACGATCAGAATCGCTGGTAAGCTGGGCAGACTCAATGCTGCCGCCATCCGACAAAAGTGAGGCAGGAAGTTTCGGATCCCTGCCAAACACCCACTGATTCGGACTTGATCCGCTGCGCCTGACCAGTCGGTTCTTTGCATAGCAAGCCATAAGCACACAAACGTTCACCTCGGCCGGCGTAAGCGCAGCGAACTGATGAATAAGCCGCGCCACGTTGTACTTCAGTGCCTGGCCGTGACGCTCGGCCTTGCCAAGCTGCCAGTGGCTGTCCGGTGGTACACAGCGAACGGAGATGTTCAGCTGGGCATTCAACATCTCGAACCGCATGCCTCGGAAGGCTCCCTCAGCGTCGATGGCCAACTCATCAGGGGGTCCGAAGTAAGTGAACCAACCATTGACCAGGGCCGTGACCACGGACTCTTCGCTGCGATTCACAAGCCTTGTGACGGCCTGATAGACCGTGCCATCATCCACCAAGTTTAAGAACATGTGGGGGCCGCCGCGGATGTCCTTGACATAGACAATGTCCATGCACACTCTGTCATTGAAGCGGCGGGCCTGCACGGCTTTAGTCGTCCTTGGCTGATATGGGGGACTGACACGAAGACAGGTCTCGCACCGAAGATGCCGGGCAGCTCGCACGGCAGTCTCCGAAGCACCGGCGGTCACCAACTGCCTGACAAGCACTTCTTTGGGAGGATGTCCGAGGTTGGTGTGCATCCTCCGTAGTACTTGGTGTACCCATGTAGGTGCATCCGAGCCTGGAAAATTGATGTCTTTGTAGCCGGGATGCCCGGGTAACATCTGGTCCTCCTTGTCTGGAAGCACAACCGCATCATTGGTCTTCTTGGCGGCCTCAGGCTGCTGGTTCTCTTCAGGGTTTAGAGAGGTGGCCGGCGCGTTTCCGTAGAAGTAGATGCCGATACGCACTGGTGTGCTGTATTTCCCTGTGGGAGAGTTAATGATGGTGGAGATGGCCTCAGCTTCGAGGGCGATGGTCTCATTGTTGTACATGAGAGCTGCACCTCGATGTTGCCAGCCTTCGTTGAGCACGTCCTGAGGAAGTCGCCTTTGCTTTGGGGCCCGGAAGAGCTGGACTTTCTTGATGTCCCAGGGAACCAAGGCCTTGACCTGCTCCATAAAGGGCGAAGCCTTCAAGGTCACAGAAGAAGTCGTAAGGCCGCGGAGTCGCTTCTCGGCCTCCTGTAGCAGGGGTCGCCAGGACTCCTGGTGACGATTGATATCAAGAAACCAGACATCGTGCTCTATCTCTCCCGGAGGCTCCCACATCAACATAAACTCCTCCGAGACATCATCACGATTGATCCCGGAGGTCCAAGCTTGCGAAGATCCCGGAAGTGATGTGACCTCCTCGGTATGGCGCCCCCATCTTTCATCTCCCGCCAGGGCTAAACGGTGCCATATTCCATTCACGATTTCGGCAGTTGTAGTAGATAAAGTCAACTGGTCGCAGGCCTCGACGGGTTGTATCATGATCTCGAGACTGCTGAGCCAAGTGCCGCGCTGCTTGGTGCGAACGAGATGGACACCGGGCAAACCTCGAAGTTTCTTGTTGCACGGTGCCTCCCAGAATTCGCTCTGACCGCTGCAGCCGATCACAAAGTGCACGCCCTCGTTATAGAGGTTGAGGATCAACTGGAGCACCGCAGTCTCCGACTCACTCACGTTCGGGGGCTCGTGCTCATTTACAGTCTCTCCACCTCGGCGCCAAACGATCACGTAGGGCAGCCGCTTAAGCAGCATCTTCTCGAGGTGCTTCAAGTTGGCCTGCTTGACCGTCCACAGACTTAGTGGCTGCACGACACGTAGACCAGCTGCAACGGCCGCCTCGGAGATCGTGGTGTCTCCCTCATAGATCTCCAAGAGGTCGGTCCCATGTCGGCGTAGCAGTCGGCTGGCCTGTGTCCTGGCCTTGTAGACGGCCTGTTCAACTGTTCAACCATCCACAGACTGAACAAGGACCGAGCGGCCCCAGCGAGCCTCTTGCGAGTCCCAGTTTTCAACCTGAAGCATCCACGATCGTCAGGTCCCAGAGGTAGATCGGGGGAGCCCTGCAGCAGGGCTCGCTCGACGACCGCATCATCCTTCAGAATTCCTGGAATTGCCTTCGCATCTCGGCCGGGAGGTCGTCGATCTGGTCCTCGGCCCAGTCGTCGCGAGCCATACGCTCCTCCTGCAAGTTGATGTCGTTGTTCTGGGACATGAGGATCTCGTCCACCTCGGCCTGGGTCATGTAGGTGCCGTCCGTGTACTGCACCCTTTGCCATGCCGGTTGGGTGCCATCCTCCGTCCGCGATCGGCGGGACGTCACACTCATCGCGTCCGTGTCCGAACTGGCCGGGGTGGATGCATGCCATTGCCTGTGTGGCATTCTCCTTTGACCACTCAGCCTGAACAGGGCCGGAGTCCGACTCGGAATCATAGTGTTCGTCGAAGGCGGCGGCGGAGGTGCCTTGGCCATTGACACCGTGCCCAGCGACGGCCCCTGCCAGTAGCCCGACGAGGGCTGTGACGATTTTGCCGAGGGGCCGACGTTTGCCCGGCTTGCCGTAGTCGAGCTTGCTTTCGCCTTTGGAGGCACCACCCGTTGTCGCTGAGCATCTGTCAAACCCAACGGTGTCTTGGCATTGGGATTCGCCTTCGGGGCCACTTCCATGGCGTCGCCGGCGGGCGTCAACACCCATCTCGAACCGCAGTTGTCGCAGATCCGGATGCGAATCCCAGCGGCCCCATAAACTCTTGTCCCGGCTCCTCCCGTGTGGTCGCAGCGACTGGCATCCCGAGGGTACTTGTTCAGCTGGAGGCCCGATGAAGCTGCCATCGCCGCCTGGGTGGTGAGCATCGTCACTGCCGAGCAAGGTTCCATGTAGATCCTCAGGATGGCATCCTTGAGGCGTGGCCTCAGTGCAGTTGCCGAGTAGTAGAGCACTGCCTGCTGCGTCGTGAAGACAAACTCCATGAGATGTGACAGAAGATCGCGCCAGCGAAGGAGCCATGCTGGAGGTTCGGATTTGCTCTTGGAGGGCATCTGGGGGTGCCTTGGCTACTCTCGAATTTCCGATCACTTCAAGCCTGACACGCTCGGGAGGATAAGCATTCGGGTGTGCCACGTCAGGAAGACCTTGCTTGCCAAGCTTGACACTGTTCTGGACTGCTTGAACGTCGCACTCACCTTCCGGCCACTCATCAATCTTAAGTGCTAGATGACGACATGGACTGAGGTAAAGCTTGGTTGACTTGCCACCCAGGGCTTTGAAGGTGATACGTCCTTCCAGCAAGTCCGGAACTGCCCCAAGTGCCTCCATAGCTGGCCTCGAAAGGAGACCAGGCGCATCAACATTCACCTCACTGACCCCAAGCATCACCAACTCACCCGCGATCCCAGCCGGATACAACCACCTGCCCATACTTGGTACGCCTTTGTTTGGCCCGAAACTGAACCGACATACCTCGGGAGACTTCATGGGCACCAACTGCAACTCATGCTGTCGCTGAACATGCCACTTGCACCCTGCAACTTGCCTCTGGCAACCCGTGTCTGCAATCAAGTACGAAGCATCATCACACGAACTGAGCATGATAGAGGGTGGTCGTGGCACTTGGTACTCAATGATGTTTTCCGTCTCGCTGTCGCTGTCGGTGACGAGAGTCATCCAGGTCTCGGACACGGGGATCCCTTCGGGATCAAGCTGTACGTCGGCCGTGGCGATGTGAGCCTGGTGCATCGAAACGTTGGGACAATCTCGAATCCAGTGGTCAGCCGCTCCGCAGCCCATGCAAAGCGAACCGCGAAGCCTCTGCTGCCGCTCAGCGGAGTTGCCTCCCTTGCCCGAGTTCTTTCCCTTGGAGGAGTTCTTGCCCTTGTCAGTAGACTTGCCCTGCGACTTGCCCCTGCCTTTGCCTTTCGCTCGACTGGACTTGCCTTTGCCCTTGTCACCTGGAGGCTTGCCCTTGCCTTTTCCATCTCCGCTCTGGTAGTAGCCCCGTGACTGGACGAGCCCGGCAAGCTTGCGCGACGTCACCGTTAAAGCCTCAGCCGCCGCGATCAGGGCCGAAACCTCGCCATCGTCGCCGGCAGGAGCGACGTTCTCGGTCTCGGGGACAAGCTCCTCCTCTTCATCATCCTGGTAATCGGGCTCCTCATTGGGCTCATACTCATCAATCTCCTCGCCCTGGTAGGCCTCCTGCGTCTCCTCGTTCTCCGGCTCATCTTCTTCGCCTTCGGGAATGCCGTCCTGCCAGTCGGTGTTCCACTGACTCCACTTTCGAGTCCTGCCCGAGCGACCTGCACTGCGAGTCACTGCAGTAGAAGACGAGCGATAGCTAGACGCCCTGCTCGAAGAAGCTCGGCTTGTTCTCGAGCCCAAGGTTGAAAGTCCACGAGGCACACCCGTGATGGTCATGCCTGGCGGATACTGAATCCGGATGGCCTCCAGGATCGGTTTCATCTGGTATTTGTTGCCGGCAGCCAGCAGGAGCGAGGCAGTGGAGCGTTCATCAAGCTTAAGACCGTCAAGGAGTTTCACAGTACGGGCGGCTTCAGGGTAAGAGGGCACACGACTGTCCTGAAGCTTGCGCTCAAGAAGCTGAAACCTTCTCACAAAGGCTGTCACACTCTCACCTTGAAGCCGGCCTATGTTCTCGAACTCCCGGATCACGCCTCCCTGCCTGAACATCTCCCGCTCGCCAAACGCTGACTCCAAATCACTAAGGAGTCGCTGAATGCCTTGCTCATTGTCGAAGCGGTCATCGGCCACCTCCTCGAACTCCAATTCAGCCTCGCCGGATAGTTGTTCAAGAGCTCTCAAAGCTTGTTCCCCTGGTGGCAGGAAATCTCTTGTGATACGGACCCATCTCATCAACCGCCTTCTGTAGTGACGAAGACAGTAAGGGTTCCGTTCCACGTCTCCGTCGAAGCCAGGAGCTTGAGGAATCGCTCCGGATCGCCATCTCTTCTCAGAAGACTGAGCCCCGGAGCTGGACCCGCCTCGAGATCCCCTTTTCCTCCGAGCAGGCGCAGGACTTGGAGCTTCCTCGCCCGCGTCGCCCGGAACCTCATTCGCTGCGCCAGCGTCGTCATGGTCGCCGTCAGCAAGCGAAGCGCCGCCGGCGCTCTCGTCCTCCGATAATGCAGCGCCTGTGAAGTCGAACAAGTCATCATCGAAAGCCGGAGCAGCCATCAGGTTGCACTAGGGGACACTACGTCAACCTGCGTCGCTACCAATGCGATAAAACTGCTGTAGCACGGAGCCTGGACCTAACGTGTAGACCCCTGTGCGCTCCTGAAGGCTCAGGCTTTTTCGTCTCATGCGCATGCCCTTCCCTGCTGTAAGCCTTTGCACGGCGCGACAGGACGAGCTTCATGGCCGTACCAGCGCAACACAAACCTTCGGTTTAGCAGCTTTCACATGTTAGCTGGTCCTCCCAACCACGACAAATACTCTTGTCAATGCTGGTGAACTATAGGACAAGTCTCAGATGCAGCTGCATAAACGGAGACCGCTAAAACAAAAAACACAAGGAACTGATGGCCTTTTACAAGCGATGCTTGATGTCTCATGCTGATTGAGACAAGTCGCACATGCGTGGCCAACTGCCACTGGTGGCCACCGACAGCGGACTTGATTGCAGTGTTCATGCCTCATCTTTGGCTCAAAAGAGACTCTGGCTGGCTTTCGTGTCCTGTTGCGAAGCTCCCGATTCGAGGGCTAAGGCTACTTATAAGGCGGGGCACAGATGCACACCAAGTAGCAGACATCATTCGCTTGGGCCGCAGAAGACTGAAGGAGACCTCAAGATGCAACCGAACAGGAAGGTACCAGCCAGACCAAGCCGAGCGGCACAAAGCCAAGTCTATATAATAAGAAAATACAAGAAACAATGAGGAAGAATAGCAATACAACGCCTTGAAGCCTTCACACACCAAGCAAACTCCACTGCAAGAAGCATGGAAAACCCTCCCATTCCGAACACAAGCCACCTTGCAAGCCTAGTGCCACACGAGGTCGGTCTGAAACGTAAAGACGAGATATCGAAGTAACAGCAGGTGACAACTCACCCAAAAAAGACCCGAACCCAAAATCAACACCCCGAAGTCCAAAAGTCTCTAAGCTCCAAAAGACTCTGCCTTCCAGGGTGCTAAGCAAACTCGCAGCAAGCCGCCAGCCACCCCTTCCAATCACAGTGCTGAAGCCTGAAGGGGGTTGGAGATCTCTTCTTCCCGTGGAAGTCGAGGATTTGAAAGGTCCGGGGCGATCATTGCTTTGGTTACGGCTTGGCTACGGTTTTGGTAGCCGCGTAGTTGATGCTGACGGCGATGACACTGGTGGTGATGACGGTGTTGCCGTGATACATGATGTCAAAGGAAGAAGGTAATTCTGATGCTGTGACGGTGATGATCATGATGGTGACGATGGTGGGGGCAGTGTTAACAGCGGCAATTGTGGCAGCGGTGACGATGATGGGCATGGTCGCGGCATGGTGATGACGATGAACTGCATCGTGACAGTGGTCACAATGTCGTCAACTTCGTCAGGTTCTGAACATTCACACCCAAATCAACGCCATTGCAGTCGGCATTACCACCCCGGAACTTCTGCTTCATACTGCTTCCAGGTATTACTATATCGTGCACATGTTGCGCAAGACAACTCTGCGTCGCGCTTGATTTCGGATACCTTGAGATAGGAGTGTACTGCACTCTCGAGGGAGGTACATCTGAGTTTGTTTCTGGCGGGCGTGGTAATGGCAGTGAGGCTGACGACAATTCCAGGAATGGCGTTGACACGGAAGGCGATGATGCATGTGGCGATCATCTTCATCATCACCACTGATGGTCGTGTATATGACTGACTGTGTTGATAAATATGACGGCTCTGGTGATGATGAGCTGAGTGTGTTTCTGGCTATGATCCAGAGAAAAGAAAAGTCGAGAGTCAACAACTTTGAATAAAGAAGCAGTGATTGCAGTGCCACCGCAACCACAGCAACAGCGACAAACAGCCTACCGTAGGCGTCGATAGACCCCTATATAAACCCCTATGGTTTTTCGATAGGCCCCTGTTCTTCCACCCTCCAAGTCAGTCATCAGACCTCTGCATATAAGCCCTGGTCACCTTCCTATAGACCCCTATACATAGACCATTGTCGATTTAGACCCCTATACATAGACCATTGTCGATTTTGACAGACCCCTGTGGATAGAGCCTATCCCTACCTATGGCGCCCCCCTATGCGGCAGAGACCCCTCGATTTTCGATAGACCCCTATGCATAGACTCTATCTTCCAAGCCATAGGACCCTCTCCGCCCTCCCCCCTGCTGGAAGCACATTTCCCGTATATGGGAAAACTTCTGAGCATTCAGAACAAAATCTCATTGAGAAAGGTAGCTGAAAAATGCGATTGTCATGTTGCCGATGCTGACTTGGATTGCTGGGCGAGTTTAGGATGGGAACAAACACGAAGAGGAGAAACTAGAAATTGTTAGGGCGCAAACCGATTTAAGAAATCCAGGGAAAGAAGCACAAATTAACACTATACTGGAGCGTTTGAAACCACTGACGTCTCCCATTCTCGGGAAAGCTAAACTGCACCGTGAAAGACCACGACCGCCACGACCAGCCGACTTGAGATGGCCTCTTGGACATGAAGCAGAAGAACAAACAGAAAAAACATGAGAGACCCATGCAGGGCAGCTCCGCGCACAATCTCTTTCAGCGCCTGGCAGTCCCCAGACGGTAGACACCACAACGGAAGTCGAAAGTATGGGGAAAATCAAACTTCCGACCTTAAACTGAAGGACTGAGGCTCAGCCTGGCTGTCCTAATTCAGTACGCGCCACATAGCAACCTGGAAGTCGAGAGCATCGGCAAAATCAGAGTTTTCTGACCTTACACCATGGGACTCCAGCATCGTTGAATGACCGAGCCCGTTGTTCAGAGGGCTGCCTGTATCTGCCTGCGCTAATTTCTCGCCATTCCTCAAACTTGCTTCTGGCAACATCTTTCCTGCCCTGTACAGGCATTCGCATCAACGCCTCTTACAAGCATTTTACTTGCTGTTAGTCGAAGCCGTCCTATTCCTCGCACTATCGTGCTCACCTCACCATGCTCTGGAGGATCACGCTTTATTGCCATTCAAAGAACATTGGAGTGCCCCGGGCCCCGCTGAACTTTAAAAAAGATGGGATCACGAGGCAGGGTCGTGAATTTGTCCCTGCTGATGGCTCTTGCACTTCTGTGTGCTCATGGGGAGCATGCTTGGAGGATCATGGGACTTAGTAAGTGAGGTTATAAGTACCTTAATTGGGGTTATAGGTAATTATAAGTATACTTACCTTTATTATGACCCTAGTTACTACGTCCCATGACCCTTTAAGTGCTTGTGGGCTGAAGACACGTCAGACGTTGGGAGCGAAGAATGCATCCACCCAGTCCGTGAGGGGTCTGAAGCCGCCGTGTTCAATCCTCGGCCACCCCGCAATCCCGACACAGATCGGAACTGTAAACGTTGTCATGATAACGATTATAAGAATAAAACCATGAACATGATAACGATTCATGCGTATACAACAATAAATATAACGAGTTTTGCCGAACGGACAGTCCTTGACTCTCTAACATCCTGAAACCCAAGCAAGCCCTCCAAAACCGAAATGACTCGACCCTTCGCCAAGCTACTGAATAAGAAGGCTTCCTAGAGTCTGCACCAGGGTAAACATCATGAAGGGCACATTCAGGATTGCAAACCAAAAAGAAAAGTCCATCTTCAAAGCGACACCTCGGACCAAAAATTGCTGGAGCTTTGGGGATCTTGTGGTGTACTCTAAGGGGGGTTAGGGTTTCTACAAAGGGGTTTAGGATTCCCTCATGTGACGGTCTGCGGCTTCAGGAGCTTCCTGGCTTTAGGGCTTCAGGGTTAGGGCACTCTCTGCTTCTGGCTTCTGCCTTTACGGCTTTCCAGCTGCGAGGTCTCGATAGGGCCTATAGGGCAGAGCTTCCTTCACAGGTATATAGTATGGCAGACTTCCTTCGCAAGTGTTTCTCAAGTATAGTATAGCAAAGAGTGCAGGACATTCTCAATCATTTTCCCGGAAGCTCGCAAAGTAGAAGATGCTGAAGCCCGTGCCGACCCTCGTTGCCAACTCCAGCACGCTGAAGACAAATGCTTCGACACTCAGTGCCACGAGGTTACCTAGGCTTGGAAGTCTTAGACTTTACAAGTACAGGGATTATTTCCGACACTCAACAAAGATACGAAATATCCCTCGATGGCCTACCTAGTTACCCATGATCCCGTTCACCATGGACTCATCACCACCTTCGTCGGCATAGAGCAAGAAGTAGTTCCGATTCGCACCCAACACGTCGTTGCTGAACAATGCGTACATGAAGATGAAGATTACAGGCACCATGAGCTCGCAGAGTTCTACGACTGCGAGGTTGACGAAGCCAGTACTGAACTGAAGATAGGTCTCTGCATCAATTGGGGTGGTGTACACGTCCCAGAGTTGCTCTGACTTCATGCTCTTCGTACTGACATGCAGAAACTTCAGCCTCTGCAAGAGCTCGTGGTACTGCTCAATGCGCCGCTTCAGGGAGTGCCTGGGCCCGAAGCAAACCTGTGTTGTCTTCTCCAGAAGTCCGAGTCCTCTCAGTTGCCCGGCATCAAACAAGACGTCTAACTCACGGTACATCAGTCAAAGATGTTCATAAAGCTTGCAGACTCTGCATAGCTTTGCTATAACTACTATAGTAAGAAACGGTCTCCTGTGAAGAGTGCCTTGGCTGCATCCACCATTACAATCACCATCACTGCCGTCAGGTTTCTTGCCGATGACATGAGCAACGCTGAGAACAGGAATGAAAGGAAAGCAAAGTGGATCTTGCTCTCTTCCAGATACTTCCGCGGTAGTTTGCACAACCTGTCGCCGAACGCCACACAGGCTCTTGAGAGTACGAACGGTACCAGAGAGACCAGCACCACCGAGAACGACTGCTCAAGAGCAGTGATGTATGGGAAAGCCCTCCACTGGAAAATGTGGAAGCAGATCTGCACAAAGAGCAGGATCATAATGACATGCATGTGCACGGTTGACCGCACTAAGACCTCTCGTTGCCCTGGCGACAGGTAGATAGCAATGATGCTGGTAGACAGGCCTGCAGGCACACACGAGGTGAAGATAGACACCGGGGTCGGGAAGAAGCCTGCCAAGTAGAAGGCGATATGGATCAGTGCACAAAGGCAAGGTAGAATGAGAGCTACGACCGGCAGGCGGTGCTCGAATTCAACACGTTCCTGGCGGGGGAGGGCCCGAGAGATTTGTTTCAAGTTGAACCAGGCCGCGATGTAGTTGAGCGCCGGGTGTGTGAAGACTAGGAACACCCAGTTGGCCCATAAACCTCGGGCCAGGCAAGGTGGCTGAAAAAAAGAGATCCTCAAGGGCAAAAACCCACTAGAGTCCTCAGAAGCCGCGCAACAAGGAAACAAGATACTGAAGCACAACCAAGAAACCTTCACTCGGTCGCGGCAACGGGAGACTGAAAGCCAGAAGACAAAAAAGCGAGACTGCGACGACCAGTTGGATGGTCGTCATTTGCATCAGGCAGCGCCCACCGGCCTTTTTGCCGTCTGAACAATGATCCAACAAGTACCTGATGGTGTCTGATGACTAAACGATACTCGAGAATCCTTGTCTTTCGTCGGAGGGTCGGGTTCCCCTAATTTGCCGAAACGCCCGCCTCACCATCGGAATGTCGATGGGATCTAAGGACTCCAGCAGCAAGACTTTCCCTCCTGCTGAAGCTGCCATTGCTTCCGGTTGCGGTGCCGCCTCGGCCACCGATGTCTTTTCCGCAGAGGCCGAAGGATCGGCCTCTGCTGCTTCAACCTCAAACGTGACACCATCAGCTGCAAGATCGGAGAGAGCTTCCAACATGGCGAACCGGAAGCAGACCCTTCTGTCCGCACTATAGGCGGGTGTCGGGCATCGGACCAATGCCTTGGGCCCAACGTGCAGGGCAGGCCTGAAGGACCTCATGGTGATGGTTGATATTGCCTTAATGGCGATATTTTGATGATGATGAGTGATGCTGATTTTGATGACGACGATGATGACGATGACGATGACGATAACGATAATGATGACGATGACAATGATGACGAAGACGATGACGAGGATGATGATGAGGATGATGACGATGATCATCATAATGATGCTGATGAGGGTGCGGGGAGTAACGGGAACCAGTTTGGAGAGTAGCGCAGCTCCCGCCAGCGTAACGGAAACAACAATTGGTAGAAACAGGAACCGCCGCAGGAGTGTAACAGAAGCTGTCCCTACGAAAACCAGGCCACTGCGCAATGTCGGCACTCGCAGCGCCAACCAGGATTGATTTGGCTAGACTCCCAGTGAGGAGCTGGCAGCGTGTATTCAGTCAGTGAGCAACCACAACAACGACAACAGTAGATATGGAGGCAGAAGGACAGATGAATGCACAGCCATCCTGTAACCGCCAAGCACAGAATTATCGGACCCTAAATCTCAACCCTTGAACCCTGAATCCAAACCTTCATGCCCAAACCGCAAGGCGTCCTGAACCCTAAGACCACCCCCCTCCCTCCCCGTCCACCCCCAAACATTAGACCCTAAAGCCAGACTGAGTGTCCAGCTCACGAGGCTGCGCTGCAAGGAGACGCTAGGTGCCGAAGTAAACATCAGCAGAGCCTCTTGGGGCTTAGAGCTTTTTCTCTGAGCCCGTGCAATCTCCCTCTGGATGGAGATGTAGTAGGGTAAGCAGAATACTGTCCATATCGGTACATGTTTGTGGGTACGCAAGTGCACGTAACTACATATGTACCCACACACACACACACACACACACACGCGCGCGCGTGTATGTGAGTCGGTCTGTCTGTCCCTGTCTGCCTCTCTCTCTCTGTCTGTCCGTGACTGTCTGTGACTGTCTAAGCCTGTCTGTGTCTGTCTGCGTCTTCTGTCTAATCCCGTCCGTCCGTCCGACCGTCCGTCCGTCTCCGTCTCCGTCCGTGTGCACGAACGGATGTATTGATTTATTCAGCGATTTAGGACCTATTTTCTTATGTGAATGCACCTGTACTGTACATCACGCAGCATGTACACATAACAATACACACGCCGTGAATGTACGCATACATCCGCGGGCGAAGACGGCCTCATAATGAACATGAGACATACCTAATCGCCGTTCGCAGGTTCGAAACTACTCTTCTTCAACGCGTTCATTTATCTGTGGGATGTCGCTCACCCCTATTGACATGTAGCACTCTGTGACCCTCGTCTGCCGTAATTTCCATGGCGGACACGAGCAGGGACATAGATCGAAAAAGCTGCTAAACTTACAAGCTTGAACCAGAATAGGAGGCCGCACATTACTACATAAATACATCTAATAGACTGTGTAAACTATATACGCATATCTCCATCTGTATACATATATATATATATATGTATATACGTTATATATATATATATGAGAACTTCGACATGAGCTTTCCCACTGCTTTACCCTCATGTCTCAACCTTGCAAGAGTAGGAGTTTCATACGGGTGTGCGGCACCTGAAGCACAAGACTTCGATCTCTGAATATCTCTGACTCCTCAGTGCTTTCCTCCCGCATCTGTCTCTATATCTCTACGATCGAGACAATCTGCTTGGGGAACACGGATCAGGCAACCTGGCATGTGCCTGTAGGCCAATCCTCATAAGCTCAGACTCCCAGATATAGCACGTCTGATTAGAAAGTCGGAGAACATGTCTGCTTTCCCAAAAGATATGCTGTTTCTCATTTCTAAGCATTCTGCTTCACCATACTTTCAATGCAAGAGGCTTTCTGCACTTCCCGGCCTGTGACCAGTGTTCCTCTGCAGCCAAAGAGGCCATCACCTGAGGCAGGCGTTGACTTTAGCACTCGAAGTCCTATGTCATTTTTTGGTAAGCCCTTTTCCCCTTTGCTTTCGTTGATAAAACCATTGGGGCCTTGACTTATGGTCAAATTTTAAAAGGGTTTAGGGTTGCCGGGTTTGCCCGGGTGGGGGCTGTCGATTTCCAAGGATTCGAGGGGCTTCCACGCTTCTTCTGCAGCTGAGGTTCTGTATTCAGGTGGATCATGTTGATGCGCAGGGCGAGACGCTGCAACTCTTCCAGGAAACGGCGAGCAGCCGGGGCACCTCTCTCCTGGTATCAACACAGGCTTGACCACGCGAGCTCGAAGTTCGGAGTCCCTGACTCTTCAGGCTGCCAAAGCTCGGAGAACTACGTAAACTACACAAACACTGCATCCTGACTACCGAACCCGAGCCTGCAAAGGACCCCTTTGCTTCCCCAAGGCTTCTCCTGCGCCAGCCTTCGCAATTGCACCGTGGCGCTCTTCGGGCTGGACCAAAGGCACTCCTCCAAGGCCGAGCCCCTCTCAGCCACATAGAAAAAAGAGCAGCAGAAGGTGGTGATGATGGTGATGACGACGGTGATGATGGTGATGATGACGATGCTCTGCCGCTGATGGCAGCGATGATCGTGATAGCAGTGACGATGAAAGCGATCCGTGGCGGAATACCGTGGCGGTGGCGGCGGGTTCTGCGACGACTCCGAAGCCGTGACCGACCTGGAGCCCGAAACCCTCCTCCCCGAAGTTGCCCTAACACCCCCAACCCGCTGTCTCCCAAAGTTCTACAATGCTGGTCCACTCAGGGAAAGTCCTGCGACGCCGGTGCGGCACCGTGCGAAAGTAGCACCATGGCAACAAGGAAGCCCCGGGGTGCGAACGAAGAGAAAGCTTCGAACATGGACAGTCGAGCTAGATTCAGGCTTTCAGGGAACCGGATTGGGCTTAGGCTTTGGGGTTGAGGGTGTGGCAGAAAGTCTCTGTCTTGCGCAGTGGCTCCTCAGAACCGTGATCTCAATTTGCGAGCGCTGTTGAAGTTGCTGTCGCATGTTCTCACATCATCCGCCTGTGGTGTGCTTAGCAGAAAAACAGCCTGCAAAACAGGCAACGAATAGTGATGCCCTCAATACAAAGACGAGCGGTAAATCCTAGAGCTAAACAGCCCATGCAAAACGAGCGAGCTCGCATTCGCACAAGTAGAGGTGTTCTAAGCTTCCTTAGCTCCCGTCTTTGACAGGACGAAGCCAAATTAACAGCGGTCAGGAAGTCAACGCAGTCTGTGCTTTAACAGGGGCTTTGTGCTTTGTGTGAAGGGCCTTTTCCCTTTGGCATGCTTTTATACGCAAGGAAGCTTGTGTGGGGGCAGGCAGAGAGGTATCGTTTGAGGTTTAGGGATACCTGCCACATGGGCTTGCCTGAGGTCTCCCGTTGAGATGATCCTACTACTCATTACGAACACTCGGGGTTCTGCAGCATGTCCGGGACGCTGGTGTTAACACCTCTCAGAAAAAGCCCAACTTAGCCACAGTAGCAAGCGCAGGGGTCAGCACACGCTCTTGCGAGCCCTTGCAGAATGCAGAATCCGTTTTTGTTCCATGCATCGGTCTTCATTTCTTGGGAAACAAGGGATCGTCAGCGGGACCCCATCCGGATTACTTGGAGGCCTGCTTGGGCTTCATCCTTCTCTCCCGCAGATAGGCTCGGATCAGCAGAAGCAGCATCAGGCCGGCTCCAGCTACAGAGAGGAATGCCGTGAAGAAAAGCAGAATGAGGTTTGTGGACTCCTTGGTGACTTGACAACTTGCATTCTTGCACCGGGGTTTGAGTCGCCGCAGCCTGAAATCAAAGACTCGAACTTGCCGAGCTTCTGTTTTCGCCCAATTCGAATCCTTAGGTTCCAACAGTGTGGATGCAAACTCCTAGTATTGGAGACAGTCCAAGGAGCATTAGCAAGAAGTGAGTTGGAGAGAGCTGCAATCACCAGGGCATCAGCGAGCAGCGCCGCTTCGATCAGGTTAAAAGCCTCCCGGTCAGCACAACCCCCAACACAAAAGGCGAGCTGGAGTCCTGACTCATGACCTTGCTTATCAACACGCAATTTGCTGTAAGCTTCCGGCGTTCTGTTTGTAGGGGAGCAGGTGCACGTATGCGACCAAAGAGACTACAAGAATCACGCTGAGGCAGCCCAACTGAAGAGCAGGTGACCTCGCTGCACTAGGCGGGTTTGACTTAAAGTGCAAGGCTTAAGTACACAGTCCCGTACTGCAGTGTGCTATCAGCTGCAATCATATGAATCATATGTGTTTATTTGAGTCCACCACAGGGTGATCGGCAGCACGGCACCCACCAAAGTAAGCAGCATCCTTAGATCCAGGGTTAGTGGGCTTTTCTGACTTGGGGGGAATCGTCAGGGTATCGTGCTGGTCCAAGCCACTTTCGAACCAATCGCTCCACTTCCCAAGCTGCAAATTTGTCCTGCCGACCGTGCGAGCAAACACAAAAACACTGCTTCATACATTGATCCCTACGTTGCAACGAGGCGGACCCCACTGTACCCAAGCAACAGAACCGGGCGAAAACCAAGCCCGGTCCTCTCTGCACAAAGGCTATTCCGAACCATACCGGTCGCAAGCATAGAAAAGCTACACATATAAAAACAGCACGTTGATTCAAGTCGGTTCAAGGGCGGACTCTGTGGGACCGACGATACCAACGGTCATCTATAGGCATTTCAAGTATTTTCTGCATGTGTGTTTCATGCTACCTCTGCTTGTAGCTTGTGTCTGCGGAACGCCCCGCCTTGTAGGCGTTCGTCAAATAGACGACGTGGGGCGGCTTCGGGGAAGTCTTAGACAAAGCTGCCTTCGTCCAGCCGAACAATGCCAGGAGGAAGCAAAGCACGATCATTCCTGTCGCATGGCAGGGCAGAGGTAAGGATAGGCTAGATCAGTGCAACAAATCTGGGTGAGATTCCACCCGCAGTAAGTCTGAGCCGCGCCTGTGATTGTGGCCGTGGCAGCAGGAATGTCGGGCAAGAAGGCGCACGTCAGCTCTCCTCCCCGTTTCTCCTGCAACTTGAACCATATTCCGACCCATAGTCAAGAGCTCGACAAGTCAGGATCTGGCCAAGGCTACATCAGGGCCTTCTGGGCGAAATTTGCGCAGCAACACTATCAACCCTAAACAAAATCGTGCCTTCTCGATCCGGTAGCAGACCAAATACTTGCCGAAGCCAGCACAAAACTCGGGCAAGAAGCAGTTCGCGCCCACTACCAGTGCGAGCCACGGATCCTTCACGGGCCGGAGTGGCTTAACACTACAGCGTCTCATCATCATCACCACCATCACCACCGTCGCCATCGCCATCATCGTCATCACTACGAGGCCATGACTTTAGGCATGATAGCAAAAATCAAACTGCATCATTGCAATCTCGTCTCCTTGGCTGTAAACATATAACATGTGCACACACGTACAACAATATGGGCCTGGCAATCGGCTACGAGTACAAATCGCTTTTAGCCTGATTAATCCAAGGGGTGTCGCTGATCAACAGATCTCATCGGTTGTGCAGCAATTTTGGCCCGGAATGTTGCACATGGGCATCGTTCTACATTCTGGCTAGGTGTCTTCGCGTCAGTACAGCTCTGTTAACTGATTGCGGCATCCTGGCTGGGACTGCTTTCAGAATTGTGCAGCTTTGGTACGGGAAATACTTCTTCTGGCGGCTTTATGCTTGCTGGCGTTTCCTGCCTGTAGTTTGGGTGGAAGTCATCGAACTGGAACATGCAACACTTGCGGGCTTTGACATGCTTGAGTTTCCGCATCACCACACCGAGGACAAGCATGGGCCAGGCAGTGTGGCGTTTTCGCGATTGTTGAAACGCTAGGCTGTATGCCCGGGTGCCATCAAAACCCTGTAGTCTCTTTGGAAAGCAGGGTCTGACATATGCAGATAGGTATACATATGTGCATGCAGACAAGTAATTATACTGAAAGAACAGAAGATGCTGACTGCAACAAACTACACATGTGCCACCTGATATCTGGATGTGTACTCAGTGCGATGGAAAGCCTGCTGCATACTAAGATGCGCTAAACTAGCTGCTATGCACATACATACGTCCGAATCATCCTGAAGCACAGCTCCTTGTAGATGCTCAGTACGACGATCAGCAGCGCCGGAGTGGCGGAGCGGAGGATATGAGCCATCCACAGCCTGTACTGCCGACTCTCCAAAGCACAGGAACCTATACATGTGTGCACATACATACATACATACATACATACATACATACCGGCAGACAGACAGATAAACAGACATAAATACATACATACACAGGCACACATGTACATATACATATACATATACATACACATACACATACACATATACATATACATACACATATACATATACATATACATATACATATACATATACATACACATACACATACACATATACATATACATATACATACACATACACATACACATACACATACACATAGACATAGGCATAGACATAGACATAGACATAGACATAGACATATCCATATCCATATCCATATGCATATGCATATGCATATGCATATGCATATACATATACATATACATATACATATACATATACATATACATATACATATACATATACATATACATATACATATACATATACATATACATATACATATACATATACATATACATATACATATATATGCACATACGCATGTATACATATGTGTATACATGTGCATATCTGTGTATAATTACATGACCATATATACGCATGCAAAACACATGTACCTGCACTGTTGGAAATGAACATGCGTTGCACTGGGGCTGCAGCTTCCAAGGCCAGTTTACCGCCAATCTGTCGGTTTCGACGTGGTTTGCGGAGTCCTGACTCCAACGACGAAGGAGAGTACGGCACCCATATATGATCCCGGTTCGGCCGGCCACCCCCCCCCCCCCCTCCCCCCCCCAATGGTTCCGCCTCCCGTGGTGTGGTGTGGTTTCCTGCATGGGTCTGCTTGGCGTGTGAGCCCTTCAGGGGGGGAGGGGTTAAACCATTGGGGGGGGGGGGGGGGGTCGGATCATATATGTTCTCGGTTCTATCTGTGTGTGACTGTGCAAGCTTTTTCCACACGAGGGCTCACACGCCAAGCAGACCCACGCAGGAAACCCAAACCACACCACACCACAGGGGGGGAGTGGGGTAACCGGCCCAAGCAGACCCACTCCCGAACCACACCACACCACACCACAGGGAAGGGGAAGCAACCCGCAACCCCACACCACAGGGGGGAGGAGGAACCATTGAAGGGGCGGAGGGGGGGAGGGGGGGGCCGGCCGAACCGGGATCATATATACTTCGCATGACACTTTGTTGCTGTGGCGCTATCCAGCTCAAGGTTTGATGCAACAAGATCTTTTTCAATCCAAACTCACTAGTGTACGTGTACATGCATGCATGTCTGCACGAGTGCACAACGCATATGTCTGACTTAGTCGTCTGAGTTTACCAGGAAGCGAGGTACACACGTATGCAAACAGACATAGACGTATGTGCGCACATGTGTCAAGATGTCGATATGTTGAATGAATGACTGGATGGATGGATGAATGAACGAATGAACGAATGAATATACACGCATACTTACAACACACACATGTGAATATACACACAGATATGCATATGCTTGCATAAACACATATACACGGTTGAACACAAATATACATACGCACGCATATCCACCTACACACATATACATCTTATGTACATCAATACATAAATACAAATAAGCATATATACATGTATGCGTGTATGCATAGATGCATATGCATAGAAAAATATTCATGTATATATATATATATATATATATGTATATATACGTCTACATGTATACAGCACTTGGACCCGTATAACTATGTATGTATGTATGTACATATATAATATATGTATAGTATATATGTACATACATACATACATACATACATAGCTATATCGGTCCAAGTGCTGTATACATGTAGACATATACACATGCAAACATGCATATGTATGGGTATGCATATGCATTCGTACATGTGGTTGTGTGTATGTGTGTATATATATGTGCACATGTACATGAATCTGCATGTGCATATGTACCTGTATCTGTATATGCATGTGTAAATGCATACGCATATCTGTATCTATGTCTATACCCCATATCTATATGTACATGCATATGCATATGGATACATGCGTGTAGTATACTTGTGTCAGTATATAAAATATATAGTGTGCACGAATATATATATATATATAATACATAGATAGATAGATATATATATATATATAGATATATAGATATATATATATATATATATGTATATAGGCCAATGTCCAATCCCCCCGGCGACCGCGATGTGTATATACATACCTACCTACCTACATGCCTACGTGCTCCGTAAACAGGACTACCAGCATGCAAGCATGGATGCAGGCAGGCATGGGCACGTGCCGCCTCTTCTGGCAGGTGTTTGTGTGCATGCATGCATGCATGCAGGCATGCATGCGTGTCGCTGAGATGTGACCGTGCATAGGTGTACACGCACATTATAGACGTGTAAATGCATGCCTGTGTGCGCATGTGTACGTGTGCGTGTTAAAAAATGTGGTAACACTTGAGTTAACAATTGTACAAACAAGCAAAACACAGACCCACCTCTGCCTCGACGGAATCGCCTAGACAAAGGAATCAGGCAGGGAGCGTCTTTGGCAGGCCCACAAATTCTGCGAGGCAAACGGTGGAGAGTCCGCTGCTCTGGCCCTGGGCAAGGATCCCCCCAACGTCGTCGGAAAAGCAAGGTGTTTAGGGACTACTTGGATTTTCTAGGGTATGCGGGTTTGGGGCATTAGGGTTCAGGGCTTGAGGGTCTCGGATGCATGGAGGGGTTTTGGCTTTTGGGCAGGCTGTACTTCGTGCCAGGGTGCACCCTATCCCAAACCCGGTACTTCCTGCCAGAGTGCCCCTTGCACCACGTCCACCATCATGCCCGAGCTTACGAGCATGCTCTGGAGGCGGTTGCTCAGCTTCCCGAAGCTGCCGGTCTGCTTGACCTGAGTAATGTATGGGCCTTAATATTTAGAATAGGATTTTCGGGGCTCCTTATCATAATGATAATAGGAATATACCCCAAAACACTAATGTCATTTTTAAGGCCCCACATTAAGAGCCACAGCCACGAGAAGCAGAGCAACGGCATGCCCGGGGCCCCTGCAGCAGAGAGTGCAGTGCCCGCAACAGTCGAGAAGGACATCAGCCTGGGATACAACAAGAACAAGCCGCCGTTGTTTAAGCTGGAGTTCTGGCGGTCTGCCGGCTGCTTATCGGGAAACGGTTGGCATCTCGCCGAGAGGCTGGTTTAAAAGCACCGTGGAAGGCTTCCCCTCCTCACTAGCCTCCGGAAAATTTCGTCACAAGTGCTGGGGCATGAAGCAGGCCGGGTATACTCTGCAGCCGGGGGCGGTCCTGCATGACACCCGAGATGGCCAGCACAAAGATCACCACATCTTTTACAATGCAGAAGAACCTTAGAGCATGGCTTTCAAAAGGTGCGAACGGCCCCACTCAACATCGAAGCCCATGAGTCCCAAGTCCCAAGCCCCTCATCACCATACTCAGACACTTCTACTCCCTAGGCTCATAGTCACACACAGGACCGTCACAACACAGTTCCATCTGAACTGAGTGGCACTTGCCAAGCCCACATGGACCTCGCGAGGCGTGCAGAAGGCGGACAGGCTTGGCGACGACACTGTCATGTAGCACCTTCTACTGGGATACAAGAATCGAAGACATCAACATCGTGAGTAGTTCGGTCCTGGCCACAAGCATCACCATTACTTGTTCACTAAACTCTTCAACAACAGAAAGCAGTTAACAACAATAAACAGACAATACACCAACAAACAAAATCAGCCATCAACAACCAACAACTCACTAACTGCTAAAACAGTGTTCACAACAAACAACAGCAAACACCACCAGCCACAGCCACGGCCACAGAACGGCAACAGCTACAGAGGCGCGCCGCCAGCACTTCGAAACCACCACCACCCCAACCGCAGCAACAGTGGAAGCCACGACGACGGCGACAATGACGAGGATTAGGACGAGGACAACGACGACCGCTGATGGTAGCTAGACAGCAAATAGCAACAGAAGTAGTTAGAGTCACATCGCTCGAGGAAGCCTGAGATCGGAGCCCGGTGGTGGGGCAAGGCGTGCATGACAGCACAGTGTTGTCGACAGGCCCGTGGCTGTCCAGGCAGTTCGTGCAGCCCAAGCCATAGTAGCCCTCGGCACACATCGCCGTCTCAGCCTGCACATTGATGCGCATGAACATCCCCGCTCCCTCTTTTTATCGCCGCTGATTTGACACATATCATATCGCACGCACTGTCACGGAATGCTCCAGGTAAAGCCGCCACGTTTTCAGGCGAAGTCCAGCCTCCGGCAAGTCTCCGCCGGGGCAAGCAAACTTATTCGGACAATGGTAGTGCCGGCTCAGGTTGCTTTGCGAAACCATGTAGCCTGCAACGACTCACAGGACGCAAGGACGCAGGGAAGAGCTTGGAGTTCCTCTGCCTGCCTCTTTGCATCACCACCTTGTCGGAAGTGCACAGCCGTGTTCCACCCGGGCATTTCACACAGGGAGCATTCGGCACCGTCTTGTTGAAAGTGTCGATCTGGATCCTGAACTAGTACTGGTCACGGCACCGCACGGCACAAACGGCACAAACGGCACAGAGCAGAGCATTGCGCTGGCCTCCCTGCCGCGCAGGTTCTGCAGCCAACTTCACCACTGACAAGTGCTCCTGGGAGGTCAAGAATCTCTGGGCGCTCTCTCTCTGCGCTCTCAATACATGAAGGGAAACAGATTATGCGGCAAACTTGTCTCGCCACCGATTTCGCTTTGCTTCTTTGTTTCTTGTGTCTCGTTGGGGCTCGCGGATCGTGTATTGATTGTTTGCCTTCCCCGGCGCCTTCGGCACGATCTTCTCTCCGCCCTCGGCCGAGTGTGCAACCCAAGTTGGGAACCTCGGGCTTCACCGAGCTGAACTGGCACTGGCCGGCACCGGAACAGTTCGCTTCCCTGATGATCCTTGGAGACAAAACGAGCACTGACGATCCGAGAAGCAGTACCACGTTGCAACACAGGCTTCGAAATGAATTTCTAACCGCACAGTCAGGAAGAGCCAGGTATCAACTTGTCAGCTGACACTGTGACTGGCTGGTCGCCTGTTTCCACAATGTCCACGCGGCCGAGCGTTAACCAGCCAGCAACGGAAAAGGGAGTGGAGGAGGAGTCCCGGCCTGCCAGCTGCCGACAGTGGTAACGCAGCATCAGCAGAAAGGGCTGTTCACAGCCGAAGTCAAATTAATCATCAACCTCCCTCAAGAACCTCATCATGATGAGCATGAAGATGAGGACCAGCATCGCCATCATCGTCATCATCCTTATCATCCTACTCATCCTGACCCTCATCAACATCACCCCATTCTCGTCATGATCATCATCATCATGATAAACAACATCGCCGTCACCACTGTCAAACTCATCATTATCATCAGCAGCAGCAGCATAGTCATCATCATCACCATCATCAACATCACAGTTCTGTCGCGGCTCGGGTATTGGCCTTAATAGGAACAGCAACATTCAGAATGTTGAATCTCCATTCCATGATCACTGTCATAACTACGACTATTACTATTACTACTACTGCTACTGCTACTGCTACTACTACTACTACTACTACTACTACTACTACTACTACCACTACCACTACCACTACCACTACTACTACTACTACTACTACTACTACTACTACTACTACTACTACTACTACTACTACTACTACTACTACTACTACTACTACTACTACTACTACTACTCTTGCTTCTGCTGCGTACTCGGTACTAGGACTACTACACTATCTATGCTTGACTGCGGGTCGAGGCTCAGTGGGACAAGTGCACGGGGCTGGAGAAGCTGGAGTTCCCGCCCACTTGCAGAGCACCAGCGCGACTCCCAGCCGTGCAGTTGACGAAAGAAAGAAGACTCGATGTTGCTGAGCTCCTTAGGTCTCGAGAGGCTTACGGCAGGGAAGAGCGGCGAGTGAACGGAAGCCGACCATGCCAAGGCTCTCGTTGAATCCCCGGTACTGCACAAAGACAGCCCCACCTTCTCGTTTGGCACCTCAGCACACTACACAATACAACACCGAAACTCGACTTAAGCGAGTGCTGCCGGGCGGCGACACTCTTTGAAAGAGATGTTGCCCTTCAACTCCACTCCCTCGTAGTGCACATAGATGGCACCACCGCTCATTTCAGCCGAACAGTTGTCCTCAGAAAGCTTGGGCTTAGGTCTGCAGGCGAGCCTCCAAGCAACAAGGGTCGAGCTTTTATGGCTCGGGGCTCAGAGCTTCAGCCAACATTTAGACGTGCCGGGTTGCAAAGATTCTTTGGCCTCCACTCATCCTTAGGCCAGCTTTATCCACCTTGATGCCACCACCCTTCTTTTGGCAAGAGCAGTCCTGAAACCTTCGGAAATCGGGGAATCATGATCGCGGGATGCCTAGTAATTCTTAGCTGGGGGATGACACAACGCTTGTTGTGTTCGCTGGTACTACCAGCACAACCACCTCCACCTACCTCCACCATCACTGACTACTACTGCTGCTGCTGCCTAGTGCTACTGCCGATGCTTGTGCTACGGCTGTCACCACCACTACCACCACTGCCGTGCCGTGCACGAATGCAGACGAGCGTGCCTCATCGAGCCAGCAATTTGACGGAGGCCTCGCCTTGCATGGAGCCCACCCCCGTCGTCGCCAGAGTGGCAGGAGGTTGCAGTCAGATTGCCCGAGAGCTCGAGTTCATGACTCACATGCAAGCCGCCACCATGTGAAACGTTGGTAGAGCATTTGTCGAAGAGCATCGAACCTCAAGATGAAGCAAGCCCTAAGATCTCCTACGGTCCTACAATCTACAATCTACAAGACCCATGAGCAGTCGAAGAGCACCCGGAGCCCGCCTTGAATCTTTGCGCGCCCGGAGACGGCGGCGCCGCCGCCACGGCCCGCAGCCGTGCAGTTGCGGAAGAGCATAACCGCTCTGCCAGACTGGAGCAGTCTGATGGGCGGCGGTTCAAAGGAGTGGCTGCGTGACAGAAACGAATTCCCGGCCAACGTGGCGAGCCATCCATTCATGGCCCACCCTTTCCTTTTCCTTGCTAAAAGCCCCCCACCATGGAACTTGGTGCTGCAGTTTTCGAACCTCATCAGGCCAGCCTTCTGCAACAGAGCCTCGCCTACGAACAATCCGCCGCCCCCAGATGGATAATTGTCGTCCTTTTTGAGGTTCTCGACCGTGCTATCATCGTCGACAGAACTGCAATCTGCGAAGGAGACCGAACCACCCAGCTGCTGATAACTTTTCTCAACATACATGGCACCCCCTGACCGTTTCGAGCTGCAATGTGCAAAGGCCAGCGAACCACCCAGCTGCACGTAGCTTTCCTTGACGTAGATGGCCCCCCCTGAACTCATCGAGCTGCAGTTTGTCACGATGAGTGAACCACTGTGTTGCTCCACCGATCCGCTCACACGCACGGCGCCGCCAGAGTTACTGCTGTACGAGTCGACGATCTGACCGTTGCCCCGAATCTGCAGGTCTTTCGTAACATAAATGGATCCTTCACCACTGCACCTGGCCAGGTTCTCGACTCCGCATCCCGACCCAGCAAAACAGATCAGGTCAAGCACACCGGCCTGGCTATCGAGAGCTCGTCTGTGGCAATGGTAAGATTACCCACGACTTTTAAGCAAGGATCACTAAGTGCTGCATGTGCTGCAACCGTGAATTGTAGATGGCCTTCCTGCCGCACAGCGTAACTCCACTATGGAAAGAAATGATACGAACTGCTCATGGCTTGCAGAGACACTGCGAAATCTACAAGCGGTCCAGAGTAACATCCGCATCGTTTGCCGTGACGAAGAGCAAGCTCGCGTTTTCCTGCATCTCAATCCTCGGATGTCGATTACTGCACCAGCACGGAAAATCGTGTCCCTTGCACGGGCAAAAAAGATCAGCACCGCATTATCAATATATGCACCTGTGCAGCTAAGAGGCACCGTCTGACTGCTTCCCCGCAGAATGCAGCTCTTTGCGACGTTGATTCGTGTAAACTTCGACACTTCGTAGGCTCCATCGAGGTCCAGGACGCCGCCGTCGCAGGTCGTCGGAAACCTGAGCTCAAAGCAACGCCAACGCCTCCCCATGTGTGCTCAAAGCAGCTCGCTCAGGTCATGGCTCCAGGGCCTCCTTCTCAACGTAGCGAGTGCGCTCTGCCAGCCGCAGGGGCAGCAAAGCGAGCAGAAAGCCTCAGAACTCAGCAGCGCGGACTACTAATTTAATAGGGAAGGAGGAAACGAAAAAGGACAACAAGCAAAGATCAGCCGTGGGACCTAAGACCATAAAGTCATGGATCCACGAGTTTCGCAGAAGACGTCTACCTTGAGCCGTCTGCCGCCATGACATGCCGTAACCGCAGTTTCGTCGCCCTGCATGCGACATGCCCTGTACAATTTTGGGGCCGCTGCCATCAGAACCAGGCTTTCCGCTACTGGACTTGCACTGATCGTGTTGATGTCTTACCAGGCAGGGCCCTGCATGCGACGTTTTTCCGGCGCACGGCTGTGGGGAAACCGGAGGGCCAGGAGCTTCCTGGCCCTTCTGACCCGATCGCAGGGAAGTTCCGCTACAGCTCCTCAGAGGGTGAGCGCATAGGCCACGTATTCCTCCTAGGCTGTTGGTAAAGGGGACGAGCCAGACACGTCACAGACCGATAAATGCCTTGCGGTGAAATATGCTGGGAACCACCAACTCTTAGCCTGGAGTCCAGTGAGATCGCGCCAGACTGATCCTGCGGCCAAGCTCGGATCACTGCGAGACACCTTCTCTGCATGCCACGAGGCCGGCTGCTACAGGTGAGGGCATGAACAAAAAATCAGCGATACCCTTTCCTTGTCCATGTCCTCAGCTCCAACTCGTCAGCCAAGACTTTCGATGCTAGGACCCCAACCGAAAGAGCATATCAAGGCCCGAAACCCAGGGGCCCAAAGCACTGACCCCCAAGGGTCGGCTCTGCAGCAAGGTGACCATCACCAGTCGGCGCAGGTGTGTGGCATCCAGCTCCCCTTTCACCTGCAAAGAGGTCGCTTCTTCAAAGCTCCTAGCTTCTATCTATCTGCCTGTCTATCTTTTTCGTCTGTCTACCTATCCGTCTATCTATCTGTCTACCTGCCTGCCTGCCTGCCTGGCCTAGCTACCACCTACCCACCTACCTATCCATCTATCCATGTATCTTCCTATCGTTCCATATCCACCGATATCTATACATCTATCTTCTATATCTACTTATATCTATCTATAACTGTCTATATCTATCTATCTATGTACCTATATGACCGTCTCATTTACCTTTTTCTACCTGCATCTTTCTGCTGTTTATATCTGTCTGCATCAACCTACTCATGTCTGTGTGCGTGCCTGCGCATGTATACAAGCGCATTTCATCCCGCTCTACCCACCCACCCTCCCACCAACCTACCCACCTTCGGACGGACAGCCCCCTCTGTCTCTCGTCCCTTCCCGGAGGCTTCAGGCTTCTTAAATGCCCCTCTGGTCTTGTTTTTCTGAAGTACCTAGACCCTCCATCTACCCTCTATTAGACCCTAAACGCCCCTTATTTGGGACCGTATACCCCTATTTGAGGGTACAAGGAGGGTCCTGGTACGGTCTGCACCGTCAACGTACACAACGCTGGTCAGCCTTCGCGGGCAGATGCGGCTCGGAACCCTCAGCCAGGATCCCCCAGAGTTTAAGGGCTTAGGTGCTTAGGGTTTAGGGTAAAAGGTTGGTTCAAGCATCCAAACGCCTGGAGTCTGAGCTCCTGGAAGTCGATCTGGCCATCCTTGCGCCAGGAACCAGCTACAGGGCTTGCGCTTCAATGTGAACTCATCTTACCGCTGGTTAGTAGGAAATGGAAGAATGGTAGTAATAGCAGCTATAATAGTACCCCATTCCTCCATTCCCTACTACAGTAACCAACGGTAAGTCATGTTTGAGGGCTGCCACCTCTTTGAAGCTTTAGGGTGTGATATCAGAGGTCAGAGAAGTTTCGGGGCATGAAGACTGGAGACTCGGGGATGCCCATGTCTCTGTGAATTTCGAAGTTCGAGATACTTGGGACAGAAAGTGGTGAGTGTTCTGTTCAAAACTGCTCCTTGTTGTGATCGAACTCGGCAAAGTCGCGCCTCGGTGCTCCAAGAGGGCTTCAACTTGGTAACAGAGCTGAAGGATTGAGGGACGCCGGCACCAGATGCAGTTCGCAAGCGCGGTCGTGGTTGAGCAGCGCGGCAGTACAAGTAGCTGTTGCCAACTACAGTATGGGTTCTAAGCAAGAATGTGTCTAGGGAGGAGATGTGAGCCTCTTCACGCCCAGTCTCGCTCTTTGCACACCTGCCTCATGACCAGCATCGAAGTCATCAACAGCATCACAAGAATGGCAAGAACAGCAAACAACAAGAGCAATAGAAATCAGAGTCGAGTCATCTCCATCATTATCATCCGCCACAACCTCTAGGTTCTTGTGCAGCGCTGGTTGCTTATAGTCGTCTTCTGTCGCAGCCAGCACGGCCGGCAACCTTGTTGGCACAGAACCGGCCGCATTTGGCCCACCCAGAAGTAATACTGCAAATCCATGAGGCACAGCGGCCCTCGCACGATACGAAATGATGCTGCCGAAGCGCAAGCACACCAGCAACTTGCGCACAATACGAAAGCCCATGGCAATGCGCAGACAAACGATCCAAAGCACCTCTTGACTAGTTTCCAGATTTTTGACGTGACAGACACTCTGCTGACGCGACACGGGAATGTCGACGTTCGCGTGAGAACTACTCTGCAGTCATGGTTCGGCATGTAAACAGTTCCAGATGCTGATACATGTCTGCCACTCAAAAGCGGACTTGAGGCGTGGATGGAGCGATGCTGGCATGCATCAGTTGCAGCTGCTTCTAAGCCTAAGTTCACACCAGTGCCAGCGTAAACCTCATCTTTGAACAGACTTGTCCACATGACTGTCGGACGACCGATGTCATTCGTTACATGATGTACTACACACATACATACATATCATATACATATTACATATGTATATATACATATATACACGCACACGGAAACATGCGGGCAATGGCGCCACCATTTTCCTGACCGCCACCGAAGCGAAACCTCAGCTGACAGCGCAAACAAAATGAGGCCACGTCGACAGCTGAGGCTTGAAGGATATTGAAGGGCTGTGTGAAGGTTCAGAGCTCATGGCTACCCAAAGTCCATGACTACATTCGACAGCCTGAGCCTTCAGCCGACCTCACATTGCATGTGGGAGCTGCACAGAAACCTCCCTAGCCCCCAAAACCCCCAACTCACAAACCCAGCGACCCCACACCCAGAAAATGCGCCCGTGTAGCAACCCTTGAAGTATCCCTCCCCTATACTAACACTTATACTGCCTAAACGGCAGTGCAGCCCAGCCCACGCGATTGCCGTCAACGGCTTTCCTCCGAACACGCTTTAGCACACTCATCTGGGGACAGAATCCTGCAAAAAGCCATACTGAAAGAACTGTCCCAAAACCCTATCAGGATGTAAAGCCAATGAGCCCGAAGACGCGGGCCCGACCTGAGCCCCCTGAACTCCAAACCCCACCAGAGCCATCCCAAGCATCAAACTCAGGCTCGAGCTCGCAAACGATAGGAAGGTGATCGCTGCCATGGATACCTGGGGTTTCGGGTCCGAGGTCTCGCTGCTTCAGGGCTCAGGGCTCCGGATTTGAGGCGAAAGGGCATGTTCTTTTATCCGGGGCCCGTTTCCTTCTGCATGGTTAGCGTTCAGAATGCCCGAGTGTAGGACAAAGCTTGAGGCTCAGACAACTAAACCCGAAACTCAGGAACCTTCTCCTCAGCTTTATCCGAAAGGACAAACCAGACTCCGGCCGCTTCCCTCTCCATACAACCCTGGGCACTTGGGGATTCAACGTTTTCAGCGGAGGCAAAGGGTGTGCGAGAGTTACGACTTGAAGCTGCGGATCTACAGATCCACAGGGCTTGGTAAACGCCGCGTATTCAGGGGTTCAGGGCTTATAATCAAATGTGAAAGACTCAGATTGAGGCAGGTTGGAACTCAAGGCTTCCTGTTGCAACAGTTCGACAGCAAGGATACAATGCTGGCGCAATGCAGCGGAAAAAGAGCCTAGTAATCGAATATATTCTGGAAGTGCCATGATGGTAACAAAGCCCGATCATTCAAGAGAGCTCGTCGAACTGCAAGCCGGTTTGAAGCAAGCATCTCAATCACTTGCAAGCTTAATGCTGCAAAATCCAAAAGCTTCCGGATCCAGGCATGGCCTGATGTTACCGAAACGAGCTGTTGCCCGCCGTTTAAACAGAGATACTCAGATCGGTGGGCAGATGCCAACAAGCACTGCACTCTCATTATGGCAACAGGAGTGTGAACTTGTAGACGGCTTCCCGCGTGGTGATTCCAGCTAGGCTAGGCTTGAGCTTGACCTTGGAAACATCACAACCATGCGGTCCTTCGTAAGGTGGCAGAAGAGAAAGTGAGACGCCCGAACACATCAAGCCATGTATGAAGCCTACACCACACCTGCAAAGCAACAGAGTAAACACCCTACCTCTAAACGACATCCTTGAGACTGCGAGCCTGCCATTTGCATCCAGCGCACGATTCGGGATGCCGAGCTGTAGTTCACCGTTGACACGAGGGGGCCGCCACCGGTAGTTTCGGCGGTGCTCCTCGATTCAGGCTTGGGGCTATCAGGTCTTATTGGCAGTGATACCGGGCTCTGAAGGGGTTGTGGGCCCTTAAGGGATTCAGTGTTTTATGACCTTTGATTGCTGAACCCCTAAACCTCAAAACCCCACCCTGAAACCCTACACCCAAAAGCACCCTACTTCAAACTCCCTGCAAAGCCCCACAAGCCAACACATAACCTTTATCAATCTATGAACAAACACCCGACAAACTCAAAAAAGCTACGCGCACACACACACACACACACACACACCCACTATCCTAAACCACACCCCCGAAACCCCAAAAAGGCAAGCTTATAATAAGGATCCTACTATTAAGGGTACTATACTGTACTAGGATCCCTGTTCTCGCACGCCGGCCCGACCTCGAGGCCAGGCACTGGCGAGTCGGCGAAGCGCCAGCCGCCACACCAGTAGCCATAGAGACCTCCTGGGGTAAAGGTAGGGTTTTATAGAGCTCCTTTAAGGGGTACTAGGAGGGCTTCCTTAAGGGCTTTATAAGGCTCCTTTAAGGGTTTCTAGGAGGGCTAACACGAAGAGCAGGGTTGCGAACCTGTCTGGGCTTCGGAGTGTAGGGTTTAGGTAGTTTCGGGCTTTTTAGGGGTTTAGGGGAGTTTAGGATTCCTTTAAGGCTACTTTTCTGGGGTGGTATATTTGCTTTAATTGAGGGCACCTGTAATAAATGTCGGTGTCTCGGTATTTTAAGTTCAAACTCAGGGTTCAACATAAGTCAGGGCTTACGGGTTCAGGGTTTAGACCGGCTTTTAGCATTTGTGGGTTTTGGGCTTCGGCGTGGTTCAGGATTTAGAGTCTGGGGTTTGCCGTGACGCTGGGCTGCAGCAGCGAGTGCAAAGATCGAGCGCCCGGTGCTCTGCGACATGCAACAATGGCCCGACCGTGGAAGGCCCCCTCGCGCCACACCACCCTAACCAACTCCCTTTTTCGGGGAATCTCTAGAGGCTGCCTCAACGGGCTCGGGTGCCGTTGATTGTCTTCTTGGTTGTGGAGCTTTTCAGGAAGGCGTCAGCGTCGGGTCGTTTGGGGGGGCACTTGGCGGCCTGTGGTTTGGGGCGCTGTGGGGACCTCTGAGTCTAGCTTTTTTGCCGGGTTGCCGAGTCCCTGAAATCTCGCAGGCTGAAGAGAGCTTGGGGTCTACAGGGTAATTTGTTTCTTAAGCGACCCGTACGGTCCCGAGGCGAAACGTGCTCCAGTGCTGGATGGAGTGTGCGCTCTACCGTCCTCATGGGGGAGGTGGGCCGACATACAGGGTCGACTCGCGCCATCGAGGTCGAGCGGCGGAAGCGCCGGGACGATGTGAACTCGAACTTTCCCTCTTGTCCGATACTTCTTGTACCATCTTGGTCTCGGCAGCGAGGCAGATTCCAAGAACCCTGATCGCGAAGCGGGTCCCCCAAATCCCCAAGAAGTTCTAGAAACCCCCCAAAACCCCTAAAACTCCCCACCCCTGAAAATGAACCATAATCCAAAAAAAAGGTCCCCGAGGCCCCTTCGGACCTTCCGGTTTGTGGCGCTTCGGTGGCCGATCGGGAACCTGGCAGCAAACCCCCGCATAGACAGGTTCAGGGATTTAGGGCTCTAGGGTTTGGGGTCTATGGGTTTAGGGATTTAGGGCTCTAGGGTTTAGGGTTTATGGGTTTAGGAGGATTTGGGGTTTAAGGGCTGGGGTGCAGGGTTTAAGCTTTGGGGCTTTTAAGGTTCAGGGTTTAGTGTGTTTTGACCTATGCTGACGGGCCTGTCGATCAAGCCTTAGGGTTCAAAGCTTAAGGTTCAACAACATTTGGGGAGGGCTGCTTCAAAAACCCAGACTTCGGCATCGGAAAAGACATTCAGAGAGAGATTCAGACTGGCCATCCTCATCGCACCAGCAGGTTGGGACAGATCCAGGGGCTACAATGGACGCAAATGCAGCTCCCAGACCAAAGGCAGTAGCAAGAAAGGTCAACGGTGGAGTGGCAGTGGTGGTAGCGGTGGCGGTAATGGTAGTGGTCCTGGTGGTGGTAGTGGTGGTGATGATGGTGGCGCTGGTGCGGCAGCAGCGGCAGCAGCAGCAGCAAGTCCAAACCCAACCCTGAAGCTACCGAAACCCTTCGAAAGTCACCTTTAGGGTGGGGCTGCACAAATGGATTAGGGACTAGTACGACTAGGGGTAATACCAAGTATTCTGACCCCGTTCTTACGTTAAAGCAGCTCGGCATCTCACCTCCGGCATGCGAGGCAGGACGACGGGCGTCTCCAGGGTCAGATCCTGGCTGTGGAAGATGTAGTCGATGACCTCCTGCCTGCCCTCCTGAAAGTTTAGGGCTTCGGGTTGAAGGCTCTCCGGGGAGCAAAGACACTAATAGTAGTTGCTGTTGCAGTTGCAGCAGTTGTTGTTGTTGCGTAGCAGTAGCAGTAGCAGTAGCAGTAGCAGTAGCAGTAGCAGTAGCAGTAGCAGTGGCAGTGGCAGTGGCAGTGGCAGCAGCAGCAGCAGTACTAGTAGCAGCAGTAGTAGCAGCAGCAGCAGGGTAGTAGTAGTAGTAGTAGTAGTAGTAGTAGTAGTAGTAGTAGTAGTAGTAGTAGTAGTAGTAGTAGTAGTAGTAGTAGTAGTAGTAGCAGTAGTAGCAGTAGTAGCAGTAGTAGTAGTAGTAGTAGTAGTAGTAGTAGTAGTAGTAGTAGTAGTAGTAGTAGTAGTAGTAGTGTAGTAGTAGTAGTAGTAGTAGTAGTAGTAGTAGTAGTAGTAGTAGTAGTAGTAGTAGTAGTAGTAGTAGTACTAGTACTAGTATAGTAGTAGTAGTAGTAGTAGTAGTAGTAGTAGTAGTAGTAGTAGTAGTAGTAGTAGTAGCAGCAGCAGTTGTTGTTGTTGTTGCACGTAGTTGTAGTTGCAGTTACATGGTAGTTGCTGTAGATGCAATTTTAGTTATTGTTGTAGCAGTAGTTGTTGCTGCTGATGCTGCTGTTGCTGTTGCCGTTTCCGTTGCTGTTGCTGTTACCAGTAGCAATCGTCAAAGTACCAGCAACAGTTGCATAAGCACCGACAGCAACACTGGCAGCAAACCAAGGAGAACAACGAAAACGAAAGGCCAGCTGAAGAATGGCAGATCCCTAAACCCTAAACCCCTAAACCCTAAACCCAAATACTCTAAACCCTCAACCTTAAACCCTACACTCGAAGCAGATCCTCAAGAAGTCTGGTCCTGCCAATGCCATTCGGGTGGCTCGGAGCGCTGGCCCTCACAGGGGCGCAGGAGCACACGAGTTCGCCAAACCAGACCCTCAGACTAAACCTTAAAGCCCCAATAAGCCCTGAAGCCTTGAACCCACCAAAGAAGCAGAGGCACCCTCGGAGCAGCGAACCAGTAGACGTCCGGCTTCAGGGTGCTGAAGGAACCCTGGAAATACTCGCCACCAGCGTGGCCGAAGCTCGCGTCACAGAGCTTCCTGCTGGCTGGCCCTAGTTTGATAGGATACCTCAGGACTTACGGGGGCTTATCGGGTCCAGGGTCCAGGAGTCCCATCTTTTCCGCAGTAGTGGGGTCACGAAAATGCCTTGAGAGTCGTCTCATGTCTGCAGCAATGCGGTCACTCAAATCCTGCTAGACGGGCGGGCATGTCCCTTCTTAGCCTGTGAGACGAAACGGATCGGCGCCAAGGCAATCCTAGGCGCCCATGTCTAATGTGCTCCAATGTGTGGTCAGATCAGTTCTCCTTGTGATCAGCTTGTAGGCGTCGGACCCGGGCAGCGAGTTCAGGTCTGCACAGAACACCACCGCGGGCCTCCGCAACGAAGGGTGGGTCTCTTCTCGGGACTTTGGGGAGAACGGAAAAGGCACTGATGCCCAAACCCTAAGCCCCTAAACCCTGAAAAGGCTTCGGAGGGAAGAGGTGTCTTGGTCCCTGCACGATGAATCGAAGCTCTCCCAAATCAAGCTTCGGGGCCCCGCCGCCAGCCCCCCCCCCACATCCTCTGGCCTCATCTTTGGAGTTTGAGACTAGGGGTCAATGAAAGCTGGTCTTTTTGCCAAGAAATAGTTCGATAGTGCTAGTGTACTTAGATTTCTGTCAGTCTTGTTATTTTTGTTTGACTTGGGGCTCGGAGTCTCTGCGATTTTGGTGAAGATGCAGGCCTCAACGGAGAGAATGTTGAACGTATAGTTGCAAGAAGATTTGGGCTGCAATTGGGCTAGTCCTCTAAATTCGGGTCCCTTCTTAAGTCCCCACAATAGTAGGGCACCCGGATAAAAAGGACCCTGCAAGGGACCGTAATCTAGAGAACTACCCAACTGTAGACCCAGACCTTATGCCAGGGCTTTAAGTCCCGTGGCTTCGGATTCGTGGCTAAGGGGCTTCGGGACTCGCATGCCTTGCCCTTGGGGGTAGAACAATCCTGAAGTCCAAGTTAAACTCCAAACCTCACATCCCCAAAACCCTCAAATATCCCAAGCCCTGAATCCTGAACCTTGAACCCCAAGCCCTGAAGCTTATTCTCAAAGCCCGCAACATCACACCATAAACCGCCAGGGTTGAGGAACGAAGTCCCTCACAAAGCCCCTTATAGTGGCCATATCCCAAAGCCCTAGCCTACAGCCAACTTGACGTCTTCTCAAGCGAGCCTGCGCCCAGACTCCAGCACGCAACCCTTCATCATGTCCTCCATCAGCTCCACAAGCTCCTGAGATTCGATGTCTGGCCAAACGCAACCCAGAAAAGTTCTAGGGGTTTTGGGGGTTTGGGGGGTTTTATGGGGGTCTTATGGGGGTTTTAGGGCTTCTTGGGATTCTAGGGTGCAGGGCTTAGCAAGGAAGCCCTAAAAGCAGCCTTCCAGCGCTAGCAAAGCACCAAAAACCCAGGGGTCCTCTCAAAATACCTTCCTTCCCCCCCCCTGTTTCCGCGCCTGGGCCTCGGAGGTCTGATGCCCAGACGCCTGCGTGGGTGGACATCATGCCTTGGGTACGGCCCCCATACAGTAACAGTCTATAATAGGGCTACTATTCACGGCCTTATTATGAATATTATCCAACTGTTACTGAGTGGGGGCCGTACCCAAATCATACCTACCGTAGTACTGGGCTCTTGTGAAGGAGCCTAATGTGAGCTAGCACAATAGGGATCTATAGTAAATAATATGGTATCCTTAGTATGGCCGGTAACTTCTACTAACTTCCTCATCAAGAACCCATATTGTGAGCGTCCTTCGTCCAGATACACACTGACCTTTGCTCACTTCCAGGCATGAAACCTACGGTAGGGGCCTTAATAGTTAGAATAGTGAATAGGGTTTTGGGGATTCCTTGTTATAGTTATGGTATAATATACCCCAAAACTCTGTTTGAATTATTAAGGCCCCTACATTACATCTCTGCCCAAACCGATCTCCAGGCTTTGGGATGCTCGGGTGAAAACCCCGCGGGGATGAGTGGTGCATCCATCCATCTTCGCCTATAGTTATCCTGGTTATCCTAACTCATTCCTTAATGACTCCACCGCACTCCCCACCCCCAACCCAAAAATCCGCTAAAAGCCCGGCAGAACTTAGCCAAAGCCCCAAAACCCTCAAGCCGTAAACCCTGCAGCGCACACCTGATCCCAGTAGAGGTGGCTGGAGAGGACCAGGAGGTGCTCCGCGGAGCTCCGATGGAGGAGGAGCTGCCACGCGCCGCAGATTTTCAGCTTCTCTGGGGTTTAGGGTTGAGGGTTTTGGGGAGTTGTGGGGGTTTGGAGGTTTGGGGTGTAGGGGTCAGGGCTTGGAGTTCCGGCTTCGGTTTTCTGATCTAGGGTTGCGGATTGTGTGCTTAGGGTCTGCGTTTCCGATTTAGCTTTGGCTTCGAGGTTGAGGGCTAGGGGTCAAGGTTTAGTGTTCAGGACTCTCGCAACCGACCCCTTTAGATATCACGTCGAACAACTGGCTTCTTCATCAGCTCCATACAGAGAGAAGAACTAAAAAAACGATGAAGGCAAAAATCTTGCTCTCATTTAGGCAGTGGGATAAACAGAATTGCTAGGATTCGTATAATTAGGAACCAAATCCTAGCGTTCAGAAAATCCGTTAATCAAAGCCTGGGGTTCGGCTGCCGCAAAGCTTAACCACTACAGGTTTCACAGTCATCGGGATTTAGGATTGGGATTCCGGGATTATGGTTGATGGAACTTGCGGTTGGCGGCTTATGCACCCGGATCCCTCGGGGCGAAACGCTTCCCAGGTGTGGCGGAGCTTTTCCTAAACCCTCAAAACCCTAAACCCCAACTCAAGCGACTTTAAACCCTAAACCCCTAAACCTCTAATCAAAACCCATAAAACCCTATAAACCCTATAAGCCCCTAAACCCCTCCACTTCGGCAGCGACAAGACCCAAACGCCCTCGCCGACACTTCCCTCAGCCCGCACACCTGCCCCAGAGCAATGCGATCATTCGCAGGTTGGGCCTAGGATCCCAACAAGGAAACAGGGATTCTTTGGCTGTAGGATTTCGGACGTGTCGGGGTCCAGGGTTAGGAATTGTTGGGTGCCGTGGGTTTGGCTGTTTTAGGCTTTCTGATTTTCCGCTTAGCGTATGGGTTGTGGCTGTTTTTTGGCGGAGGCTCTGGCTTTAAGGGGTGATTTGTTGACTGGGCTAATTGTGGTTCAAGGGTTTACGGGTTTAGGGTTTAGAGTTTAGGGTTGCGGCTTCGGGCCTATGTTTTCAACAGCTGCCTTAGGGCTCCCTAATACCGGTGGAACCCACCTTGTGGAAAGACAACGCTCTCTTCAAGCCTTCAAGGTCTAGGGCTTTTGCATTATGTTGCTGACTAAAACCATCCTTTGTGGCCCCAATGAAGGAAAGTCCTCCGATAGAAGACTGAACCCGAAAACAGGCGAGGAGGGTTTCGACAGTGGGGGCCTTAGCCCGGCTACTTAGGGTGAAGATAAGAGACCAAAATGCGCCTTTCGAAAGCCTGCCCTTCACACAATACGGCGATGCCCTCGAATCCATAAAACCCCGTCCCTAAACCCCGAGATCCACGACCCTGTAAGTCTCCGTCAAAGGCCGGGCATCCCCTCCGAAAGGCCAACTCCCCGCCAGGGCACATAAATCAAGGCCCGGCATGGTCCAACCTGATAGGCTTGGATTCGGAGGGCTTACGAGTTTATATAGTGGGCTTCAGGGTTTGCTGTAGGATGCTAGAGTCTAGGGCCTGCTTTTCAGGGCTTCATGTCGGATTGTCCAGGTTAGGGCTTTCGTGGTTTGGGCATCAACGAACCCACAAAGTGCATACTCGTGTGCAATGAGAAGTCATGGTTCTGTTCCTGAACCACATTTGACACCGTGGCCTGTGATGAAAACCTGCCAAAATGAACTCTAAGGGTCAACCATCTTGGCATTTGTGCATTCGGGTTTTGGTACTCCAGTTTGGGCTTACCTTCTGACCGCTCCCAATCTAAATCCCCATCAGGGCTCTGCCTCACCATGCACAGCATTTCATGAGAAGACACCCCAGGCTCTGACCAAAATCAAAGCAAATCGTTTTTCCCGTTCTTGGTCCGGCACGGCTGTGAATGCCTGGCGCTGCCAACTCTTCAGCTGCAGGCCAGTTTAGGTTTGCTGCCGGAAGCTCGCGATTGGAAATCCCTGCATGGTGCAAGCCCGCATTCGCAAGAACCGAAATTTCTGAAAGCTGACAGAAGAAACTTCAGTTGAATTGTAGGGAACACACGACAACAGGTCTCAAGACAGCGCAAATGACCGATCCTGATGTTGCAACCGAGCTCGCCCAGCCTCGCGGCGCCAGAAGATTCCGCAACCGTCGCCCTTCCGATCATCCGGCCGCTTTTGAAACACGGCCTTGGCGAAGTTCGAGGCTTGAAGTCTCTGCACGCGAGAGTTGGGATGTTCGACAAGGTCTCAAGTGCCAGCATTACTGCCAGCCCAACGGCCGATGACCCCAAGCTGAATGCACCTGCAAGTCTAATCCTCGAAGCCCAGCCAGTCCATGCACGGCCCCGGCATCATAGCCATCCTCTTCCAGGAGGTCGCGAAATCTTGGAGGTTTGGCAGCATGAACCGATTGAGGGAGGCTAGGTTCCACAACCACCAGGGTCGGATCAAATCAAGGTTCATCAGAAGATTGTTCTTTGCGGAGCTCTGTTTGAAACGGCATTCATGTGCAACAAAACACCAAACAGAAAGGCGGGACCAACAGCCTGTGTTGGAGGATCCTGAGACAAACCTGTAAATCAGAGCGCTCTTTCATCCCACTGGCTCCTCCAATAGAGTTGGTGAGGGATCCTTGTGACAGGCATCGACACATTGGAAGTTCCAACAGCCACTAAGCCTCCGAATCCTTTGAGCTTCTGCTTGGACCTCGAGAAGGCCTGGTATGTTAACCCCTAAACCCTAAACCCTAAACCCTAATTCATGAGACATCCCTCTCGCAGAGGACTCTCCGATGCGGAAGTTCCCACAGCAATCACAGCGGCGCATTTGAACAGGAGGAGCTGCCGGTATGTTAGAGAAGAGTTCATGCAAACAAAAGCCTGTCCAATGTTGACTTAGCCAACTGTAGACGGTGTCCTCGGCCTCTGCAGCTCTCAAGCCCACGCAGCTTGTAAGCTTACAGGGCAGGGAGGGTGGGGCACGCCTTTGGCGCAGCTTTCTGACTGGAGCCACATATGAAGATATGACATGACATCAGAGCTTCAGTTGATGCCACTGCTCCTCGGCTACCCTTGCTACAGACGACAAGCATCAACGTGCGCCGATCAGTCGTTGCATGAATATGGGGTGCATTCATGAGACATCCCTCTCGCAGAGGCCTCTCCGATGCGGAAGTTCCCACAGCAATCACAGCGGCGCATTTGAACAGGAGGAGCTGCCGGTATGTTAGAGAAGAGTTCATGCAAACAAAAGCCTGTCCAATGTTGACTTAGCCAACTGTAGACGGTGTCCTCGGCCTCTGCAGCTCTCAAGCCCAAATACCAGCACTGGCCGTGAGCACATGCGCACACGGACGAAAATGGCCAACCAAAAAAAAAATCCAAATTAGCCAGCAGTGTGAATGTCTTGCGTTTCCACCACGAAGCCGGCGCCACAAAACTGTCTTCACGAGCGGAGCAGACTCGCAGAGACCCGTGCGTGCAAGATCAACACCAAGCATCTGCCAGCTGCTTGTCGGAGCTGAGCAGAACCTTCAGCTCTGCCCAAGCCGCATAGTGTCCGGAAATTGCACGCCGAGCGATGGCAGAACCTCACCGTTTGAACCACAAAAACAAAGCCAATTCGAACAGCTAGTGGGCAGTGAGCGACAGCAGCATGCACATCATGCTTTTGGAAAGCAGGTCCGCTGTCAAATGCCCAGGCTGCTAAAGATCCCGAGCTTCCCGATGAACCCGACGTCGTCGCACACCACGAGAAGGGAAATCAGCAGGGTTCTCACTTGAAGGAACGAAGATGAGATGTGCTTGCAGGCTCCCGGCCAAAGTCAAAGCAGCCACTTTTCTCAGCAGCCCGTTGAGCTGGGAAGAACTGCGTCCCTTGGCAGCTGCTCCCAAAAGGACAGCAGAATCCAGCAGCACCACCACCCTGGCTGAGTGATGCCTCTTGGTTCGCAAAAGCCAGCGCAAGAAAAGAACCAAAGCCTCACCTTCCAACACGTTGATGTGCGCAGGGAACTTGCACCGCACGCTGAGAATGTCTGAAAAGTCCTCCAACTTCAAGTTAAGCTTGTAGGCCTCGGTCAGACGGTCAACTCCCAGCGCTCTGCCAGCTCCACCATCCATCACCACAAAAGCCCCTTGCTTCTCTACCACGCGCGCGAGCTTGCGAGCCACCGTCGAAGTGGTCCGAACATATGAAGCGCCGAACCCGTAGGAAGTGCTTGCATCAGTCGCCCCCACGAGAGGAAGGAAAGGCCTTCGGAGATCACATCGCCAAAAGATCCCCAAGCAAAGACTGCATGCCAACTCTGCCAGAACTTCAGCAGGGAGTAGAACGGCATTGCTCGTGCCCGGAAGGGTGAACTTGTAGATGTCGCTGTAGACGGAAAGCTTCGGACGAACCAGAAGGTCGAACCACTGAAGGGCCCCTAGCAACTGCTGCACGTCTTTTGGAGAAGCGACTCTGTTTGCATGAAGATGCAAAAATGCGAAAGTCATGGACATGAACCTGGCAGCAGGCACATCCAGGAAGCAGCCACTGTCCAAGTCGACGCCAACACAAGTGCCGCAGAGCTCATCGTTGACATCCTTGGCAGAATTACGAACTGCCCCCCGTCCACGCATAGCTTCATCAAAGTCTCGCGCAGCTTTTGATGTAACGCCTGGGCCAGCATTGCTGAACATCATGACATCATCGGTGGCCACAGCCGCTACCAGCTCGAACGTGGCAGGAGTTTCCAGATCACATGCCATGAGGGCATTCTCCGGTATGCCAGCCTCTTCACAAACACTGAGCATTTCCTCTTGCGCAATGTAAGAGGACCAGGAAAAGCCCATCGGCCAAACATGATGCACAGGGAAAACGGGGCCCTGACGCCATGTCTGACCAGCCTCCAAGTGCTGCTTCTGCTCATGAACTGGCATTCCTGCTCTACAAAGTTCAGCTGTCGAAAGCGCTGGCTTGGCCATGTAAAGACGGAGAGCAGGAGGGAGTTTGAGCTGGTCAAACCAACAAGAAGCGTCCCGCTTGCTAAGCCGAAAAGGGTGTTCTTGTGTGCACTCGAGGAAAGTCAAGGCAGTGGGTGAGGCCAGGTGCCGGGGTTTAGGGGGCCTTGCCGAGGCTTCTGACACACGACGCCCGTCCCAGACCTCACGCAAACGTGAACCACCAGGTTTGCCGACAGCAAAAGTTGTCCCTCCTGCCTTGCACCACGTTGACAGCCCCAGTTTCCCACAACGCAACTGCTTCACCACCAGCTTGGCGTACTCCTCCCTGGAACCACGTGTCACTCCCTCAAAGCAATCCAAGTTGTCCCCAGGGTCAGAAACAATCTCGCTCGCACAACAGAGTTTCAACTGCACGTCAAGCGACAGGTGCGGCATGGGGTCACACATGGCAGCAGCTTCAAGGTTGTCAACCCGATCAGCGATCAAGTCCTGAAAGGATGAAGCAGCAGCAGCAGGGCGAAGAGGTCCGGTGACGAAGTCGGGCAAAAACCGCTCCCAACTGCCGTTCTCCACGGCCTCAAGCCGAGTCAGCACGGAGTTTGCACGGGCCACCACGTTTTCCACCACTGTCCGCTGACAAGCGGTATACTTCGCAGGAGCTCGAGCATCTTGTTTCATCCCATACAACCAATTCAGTGTAGCCACTATCACATTGACGAAGCGCACCAGCACATGCCAACGGCCCACGAACATGCCAGCAGGTTTGTGTTCCAGTCCAGTGACCGGGCCCAGAGGGAACACGTCACGTTGCCGGCCTGACTTAGGCCCGGGAGCAAAGTTTGCCACAAAGTCACCAAAACGGCCAGTGTTGTGAACAGCAGCACGTCGCAAGCGGTCAAGAAGCCACACTGGGTCTCGCGGAACATCAGCATGACGGTCGGCTCGCCAACTTAACCACGAAGCGCGTCGAGCACGAGCGAGTCGCCTGCTGGACGGTGAACGAACTCTGGTTGAAGTCTTAGGCATCCGCTCAGCGCAACACCCCAGTGCCAGCAGATAATGGCTGTGAGCACGGGCCCTATGCGAGTCTCGCCGCAGCTTGGAGGGCGACATGTAGAAAGCGTCGTAAAGCACCCAAAGCAGAGGGCCACAGGCGGAAAGCCATAAACTCCTGCGACCGGTTCTTAGATGCAGGAAGCCATCATTTCCCACCCCACGCTGCACAAGACAGGCACACCACGCCTTTGGCGCAGCTTTCTGACTTGAGCCACATATGAAGATATGACATGACATCAGAGCTTCAGTTGATGCCACTGCTCCTCGGCTACCCTTGCTACAGACGACAAGCATCAACGTGCGCCGATCAGTCGTTGCATGAATATGGGGTGCAACCTGTTTAGTGATACCCGAGCCCACAGCAACCTCACCCCAAACCCCCCGAATCCTTCGACTCTATCCCTCTAGTCCGAAGCCGAAACCCAGTGCGATTTGAAACCGAGAACTAAA